AATGTCGAACGATGTTCTATAGCTGGATACGTAACCTTGTAAATATCATGTCATCATGGTTTAGTCTCTTGGGAAAACAAGACTTGATGATTGATTTAATTGTAACAAAGTGACATAAATATAGAAAGATAAAAACAGCCAAAACTCTAAAAGAAAATCTTTTTCTTTAATATCAAATTCTTGACGGTGTTGAAAAGCGTCAATAATTTGCATAAAAATTCAAGTGATAATTTTTTCATGTACGAAAATTTAATTCGATGTTTATTAACCGTTTAAGGCTTTGACCATTGTCACAGAGTCAATTTATTTTTACAGACTCTCTGAGCAACAATCAAAACATAGAGACGGCTCTTCTTACTTACTCATTATATCTCATAAAATTAAAAGAAGTAAATGAACAACATATCTAAGAATAAGAAACAAGAAAAAAAAAAAGAATCATCATCTCATTTTTTTAACTGATGGTAGCAACTGATGAATGGACGCACAGCTTAATACTCAAATGATGAAGAAGAAAAAACATCAGGGTGTGCTTTCTTTTTTTCTTTTTGAAGAAGAAGGAGCACGATCATCATTGATGGTGAAAGGTGGTCACAGATGGACATTTTTCTATTGATGCAAGAAGAAAGAAAGACAAAGTATATGTGCACTGCTGATGCAAAGAATGATTATAATGATTATTAAAAGTGATTCGATATGCATTCTTTTCAATTGTCTCTCAACTGTTACTACTGCCTGAATTAGATCTAGAATATGCTAGTAGAATGACAAAAAAGGCACATTTATAGAATCTATCTCGCCTGATTAGTAGACTGTTATTGATGTACATTTTTATTGAGTGATTTATGTTTACTTTAAATTTCATACAAGTCTTGAAATGCAAATAAAAAGAAACTGGTTTAAGTCATCTGATTAACCTTATTAAACTTCTTTTAATAAGCCATTATGTTAAAGCTATAGTCTCATCTTTTGTGTTCATTAGTTGTCCAATCATTACCTTTTTACAGCTATTTTAATAAGCAAACAACAAGAGTAATCCTATAGATTTACATGTCTGCACAAGAGAAAATGAGTTAACTAGTTTTATTCTGATGCGGTCTATAAGAATATCAAGATAAATAGGAAATAAACGAAACTATATGTATTATATGTAGCTATATTTAAAACGACTAACAAGTGAAATTCCTTAGATATTCCTTTTCGATTTCAAAACTTTTTTGCCTACAGACACTACTCGGTGTCCTAATAAAAGCTCCAAAGTAGATTTGGGTTCCTAATGAGATGTGGCTAAGCTATCGAATTTTTAATATGTCTATTTTAGAGAGGTTCCAGATTTTCAAAAAAACTATATATTTTTGAATATTGATCTGAACATTTGTGTATATAAAGAACTTAACTGGATTGGCTTTCATAAAAAATTCAAAGGTTTTGAACAAGGTCTCTTCGAGCTATAGAGCTTTCAAAAGATCCATGTTGTATACATTATCCATGGAAAAGAGTCTATATCTGAAAAGTTTCATATCCTCAAGAGACTTTGTTCAAAACTGTACATTTGTTTATGCAAATTAGTTCACTTGAGTTTTCTATATACGCAAAGCTTTAGATCAAAATTCAAAAATACGAGTTTTCCAAAAGTCTGGAGCCTCTAGGAAATAGACATAGTTTAGTCAAATCCTCACTAGAATCCAAATTCTTACAGAGTTTTTATTAGAAAACACCTTAGTATCTATAGGCGAAAAATCATTCAAATTGGAAGGAGACATCTGATAAGATTCTTGTGTAAGTGAATAAAAATGAGAATCGAATGTTTCATAGGAAAGATCACACTGAAATGATTTATTTTCTTAATTATGATATAGTTTTGACGCTGTATTTTTCTTTTATTGTGTTCTTCGATGGTAAAAACTGAATTGAAGGTAATCGGTGTATTTTGTTTTTTTTTTGGCAAAATCGTCATCATTATCATATCGATCTAATGAATTTGAAAATGCATTAAATAAATTTTTTAAAATCTCTCAATTCTTTTTCATGATAAGTTTTCCTAATATGAGTAAAGACGCTGGATCTTAATATCAATCGTACCAATGGTTATATGCCGTGTGATAGTATATAATAGATAATTACTGATGAACATCAGTCGACACGAACTATGTTCTTATCAAGTAGTTCATCGTGATTACACTGTAATATCATTTATTTTGTGACTTGTATAAATCTAAATTTTTTTAATCAAACTTTTCTAAAGGTTCATTTTATTTCAAAACTAGCTCCTAATCTATCGAAAAGATTTCATATATATAAATATAACGACAAATATTATACAAAGGTAGTTTCATATTTCTCGCTGTTTTATATCAATGAGAATAACCTTTATGAGTTGAATTGAATATTACAAATATTTAACAAGAAGAAACGTATTGTTTTATTGAAGATATCAAGGCTTATTTTTTTTTAAAGTGGGCTTAAAGAAAAAAAGAGATCAATTTCGTTTCAATTGTATTCACTCATCAACAATTGGCTACTTCATTCTAAAACAATTTTCGTACAAAAGGCTTCATATATACGTAAAGATAGGTAGGATTCTTTTTGTGAATCAAAGAATGCCTAGCTTTTACTATCATAAAAAAACTTGAATCAGTTTTGTAAGAAGTGCAGATTTGGTTGAATATTCAGGTTATTTACAAAAGTTGAGATATTATTTTTTCATAGGTCATCTAAATTCGTTGAAATTCATTCATTCAAACGTTTCTTTTATTATTAATTGCATTCTCGTCAAAACTTACTGGTGATAAATCAACGATTGACATATCAATATTACTTGTAATTGTCCATTTCGATAATGGCTTTCTGTTGAGTGCAATCATGCAAACTAATATGTATACTACAAATGTTCTTTTGAAAACTGAGCCAATACTATAAAACTATCCTGCATGAATGGATTGATCTATTCATGGATACATATTCAGACAATTTTTTGTCATTTATAGTTTTAATACGTATTAGATGAGCTACATTCCATGGAATCTCTCTATTTTGGTTAGAATAAAATAAGAAAATTATATCCACTTTTTGTTCTTTTATCTAAATTTTATGTTATAAAGCGAAGTTACTACATAAGTAATAATTATATTTAATCATGATTGAATGTGACATTATGGCAAGATTTAAATATTCAATTATCTATCATTACAGCTCGATAAAAAGCACATATCAGAAATGGAAAGAAACAATCTAAGCAAACGTTTGTTTCTTCTAAGAGTGTGTCTAGAACCAAAACAGTTCAATTACATAACATTTATCCTACATGACTAACTTTTCGAAATTTTCCTTTAATATCGACTAATTAAAGAAAATTGTCAAAGTAATATATCACAATTTTAAACATCATCCACGCTGTTAATAACTTTATTAAAATAGATCACTGCGTCGATTTATTTATGAAAATCGTCAATGGAAAAGTTTCTATTATTGTAATAGGAACTTTTGTTCGATAAATGTTGCCTCTTATTCATGAAATGTTTCAATTAGATGGCATAGACATTTTTTCTGATAATAAATTCATACATAAAGAATCACTCAAAAAGTAAATGCATATGTCAATAGATGGTGTCAACATGTGAAGTTCTTCAGCAGACTGTGAAACAATGTGAGCGATATCACACTTCAATTAACTTTATTACGCTCAATAGAAGTACTTTCATTCTAAATCTATTTGCTAATACTGATTAAAGATGTTGATACATTTTAAATTTTCCATTGAAAGTTATTCATTTGGACTATTTCTATCCTTTCATCGTTCCATAATTATAATAGATTTCTGTTAGCATTCAATGACGAGCAAAAAACACCGACGAAAAATCTATAAAATTCATGTCTGGTATAGATCACTGAAAGAGATTCTTCTAAAAAAACATAAAGGTACACTTGTTACTAACAAATACTAGTGAATCAAGCACATACAGAATAGAAAATTATTGTATTCAACAGTAAGTACTATTTATTTTTGTCTTTTCTACTTTGAACAGACAAACCGTGTGACAAAGAGTCAAGTAATTTGCTAGACATTTCAAAATTTTAACTCTTGATGAGACCAGTATTCCGTACTATTTTACAGACTTATGGTGCTTACCACCACGACATATGAAGAATCTAATGACAATATTACGATAGTTTACTTGGTTTACGATTCAGTTTATACATCATAATTCAAATTGGTTAGCCGCGTTTTTATTTTTTCCTAACAAAAATGCTCATATTGCTAATGTCTTTCATTTAGACTTCTACTTTGCTCATAGATGGTTGTTATACTATAACTAATAATCATACAAGGGTTTTCATTATTTCTACTTTGTTCTGGATAAATAGTAGTAATAATTCCTCGAGTATTGGCATCGATATGTTTTCTCTAAAACTTATTCTTCTCATACCATAATAAATAAACATGTTCGTCGGTTCTACAGATTTCCAAACCATTATGAAATATACTTATTTAATACATATTCATCATAGGAGAATCAAGAAGTTATTTCGACCAACCGATGATACAATGTTCTCGATACCAACAGAGGTATTACTATAAATCCATACTTTTCTAATTATCATCATCACGTTAGATTTTGTTTCGTAATAAAAAAAATTATTGTGAAGAATTAAAAACCAATATCATGATCATAAAATATTTGATTTGTCTAGGGTTATTCAGTATCTGTGAAAATACTGAAATACTGGCACTGACTAAACTGGATCGATGTTCATTGAAGCATTGACATACCCATACAATATGGATATATTAGGTAAGTCAGTGTGAGTTTTAAGTCAAGAATTTACTAAAACTGCACATCCTTACATTTGTCGATTCAGAAATCTTTAGCTATGTTATGCGAATTCAACTCTTCATTTGTTTCAATGTTTTTGTTCAAGTATATCGTTTCAAAAAAGTATTTGCTAGCCTTCTATAATCTTGAAAGTTAATTAAAGTGTTACATATTACATGTGAATCAATGTCGATTAAAGGAATAAATAGTCAGTCACATATACGAAATAGACAAAGCAATGATTATACAATACGTTCATCTGATCGATATGCCTTCTCAAATGATAAACCGATTCAATCAACATCATCAAATACACAAATTCGTACAAGTAATGGAGTTATTCTTAATAAATCACCAAAATTAATACAATCATCAAAACAAAAACAACACATTGCACCTGATAAACTCAAATTAATGCGTCAAGTCTTTATTACTTTTAGTAATTCTCAATCGAGTAAGATGAAAATATTTATATTTCTTAAATATCAGGATTTTAGTGCCTGTCGAACATTTAAATGATGCGTTATCAGCACTTGGTCATGATCCTCGAAAAGATATTGGTTATCATGATTTTTTAATTGAATATGAATTGATTGAGCCAAATGGTACATTTTCTGGTTTACTAGATTTTGAACATTATGCATTACTTGTACTCGAATACGAAGAAAAATTACGCATAGAAGAAGAAGCACTTCGACAACTTGATCTTAAAATTGCTTTTGAATGTTTTGATTTAAATAAAGGTATATTCATTCTGTTGTTATTGTTTTTGCTATCTATATATATTTGATATAGATGGTATGATTGATGCTAATGAACTATCAGTAGTTATGAATATTTTGGGATTTTCCATTACTGATCGAGAAGCAAAAGAAATGATCGAATTTGCTGATTATGATAAAGGTATTGTACTTCTCATATTATTTATTTACTTTCTATTGTATTTCTAACAGATTCTTTATTATCTTTTGACGAATTCCTTATTGTCTTTACACAAATCTCTACAATCAATACATCATAGGATCTACAACAATAAATTTGTTAGTAATCAAACACTTCATGATGACTGCTTCGGCAAACAGTTCTTATTTCATAATATTATTCAATGAATTTAGACAACGAGATCTCATCTAATCTTAATGACAGTGGCTTGATAATTTTTTGCTTCGGATAAAGATATTGATAATCTGCATGGAATTGCTTCCATAAAATCTCATTAGCATAGAAGCAAATGATTCATCTTGAAAATAATTTTGTTTCCCTCATTAATTAATTGTATTATCATGTAAAGAGATATTTCCATAAATAAATATTGGATTTTCTTGCAGAAAATTGAATGAACAACAGAGAAAAAAAACGAGATTATCTTGATTTATTCAAAATCAATAATTACGGTGAAGAGTTACGGAAAAAAATTAAACCGACATAATATTAAATGAAGAAGGAAACACTTGGTCCTACTGAATTGATTAGAGATGTTCGATCGCATACTGCACCATTAATCATAATCGTTTTCTCCTTTATCCTAATGTTTATTTGTCTTCATTTCTAAAATTATTTATTTGTCTATAATGATGAAAAAAAAATTATTTTGATGATGCTTCTATATTACATTGACTATCAAAACAGAAAAAGAAAGCGACATATGTATTATCTTGATTATCATTTTGAATAAATAAAGCTCCATCTTGATAAGCATTACCATCTTTACCGACAACTTGATTCATATGAATATCATCTATACCCTGTGATGGTTTATTTTCTTTGATTGTACGTTGCATTCCATAATGATTATCTTCTAAAGTATGTTGATCATCATATTTGGTTCCAAACACAATCACATTTGGTTTATCGAACTTTAAATAAGCATCAAGTTTTTCTGCGATTTGATCAGCAGTTAATGGTTCTGATCTAACAAGAAGGTTTAAATCAAATAAAGGTCGTCGTATAAAATCTAATGCTAATGTATCACTATCATTGGATTCTAATGGTGTAAAACCAAAGGGGATACTAGAAAATGGTATCGATGAATTTATAAATGGATCAATTGAAATACATTTAACATTAGCTGATTGAAGTGATTGAATATCTATATTGATTTGATATTGCTCTGATGTTTGACTTTGTCCACTCTCAACAGATAGTAAATTATAATGACTTTCACCAGTTTTACGTGAATGATTTTCACCATTATCAGCAATAACACATGCTCGTAATACACCGTAGATTTTACCTTTAGAAAAATTTACTGAAGTCATTTAGAAATCTAGAAGTATAAAAATAAGTATTGGAGAAATGCAATAAATAGTTTTTAATTTTTGACTGTTGCTTCATTTGTATAAAAAAAGTGATATAATAGGCAAGTAACATTCTTTGCTATTCGAACATAAAATAAAATCATCATCATTGCAAATCATTTAGTAAAAATATCACTATTCAACAGAAAGAAAGAAAGAAAGAAAGAAATATTTATTGTTATTGACAAAGACGAAAAAACAAAGCATGAAACAACATACGTAATGTATATAATTAATCTTTTATTAAAGATAAGGTTTACATTTCTTGATATGACCATCGGACTTTGACAAAATTTATTTGTCTGCTCATTAAGAATATTTTATATATTGATTATCTACTATATATTTGCTTGCATCGAATTAAATGTTATCTCTTTCACACAATCAATGTTGCTTTGTAGTTTAACGAATCAAATTAAAAATTTGATTCTAACTATATATTGATAACTTACGCTATCTATAGAAAAAACGGATAATGGAAACTCAGTTTTCAAAAAGTTGTCATTTTTATAACATTTATTAGACGATTTTTAAAGTCTATTACATAGATAATTCTTTTCGAATTCATACTACTGATATCGAAGAGATTTTCTCTTATTATGAAATGTGAATTTCCTTCTCACGGATGCTAGCATCTCAGTGAAACTAGTAAGATTTTCACTTCATTCTTTGAACAAGATGAAAAAAATGGTCTAAATCAAAAAGTAATAAGACATCCTGTTTTGAGAATTTTAATGGTTTTTTTTAGTCTTTCCTTCAGTAGACACTGTTGATATACAGAGAAAAAAAATGATATATATATTTATTAGTTCTCATGAATTAACAGAGTACGAAAAGCTGCTTCATTCAAGTTGGAAAAGTTCTTCTACGTAGTTTCGTTCGGATTTTGTTGATATAATATTAATAATCGGCATAGAAATCTCTTCGTTTGAATGGAAGATTTATCGAAAGTATTGACTGGTTTCAACGCGATATGTTAGGAAAAATAACTTTGACAAGAAGATTTAATTATATCAACATTGGTAGCTTTCAATTTAAATGTTTTGTGATATAAAATGGTAGACCAATATTGGAAAATTGGTTGCTATGTTGATGCCCAAAAACATTTTCCAGCTGTATTTATTGTTGTCATCGTTACTCACAAACATAGATATCGTATGATATTCAAAGTTATGATTTTGTATGAATAGTGGGCAAAAACCAAGTTGTAAGGCTATATAAGAGTTGTGCATGCCTTCTACGAAGCACAATAAAACTTATCACAACATCTTACTACAATATGATCTTTTATAAACTTGGTCTCTCTTTGCTGCTCTTTTATACTAACGAGGGAACCTCCTCAAGTGATACTCTCGGTTTGGACTCATATTTTTCCTGTAGGTAGGACTCATAGCGTAGGTAAGAGCCCTAAAAGGGTTTGTGCCCATAGCCTGTTGTTGTTGAGATATTACGTTTTTAAGGTATTGGAATAACTCACTACCGTGGTCCCCCTCAGGAACATGAGAAAAACTCATTTGAAAATTTCGACTTGNCTTTCGATCATACACACGTACGTTTTATTCTGAAACGATTACAATAAATGAAACTTTTTGTGCTGAGAATAAAAGAATCCGCAGCATCAAGGATGAACATTTTAATAGATTTTTTCAAGGTTTTCTATCGAATAGTATACAGTTGGGTATTAAAACACGTAACCGAACCTATGCAAAACGTTTCAATTAGTTATTGAACTTTGTTATTCAGTCAAGGCCAAAATAATTAGTGTCTGAATATCTTCTTTTTAAAATGAATATATCATTGTGCTTTACATTCTAACTATGTATACAATAGACTAGAAATATTAGTTTTTTTATTCGATTTTGAACTTTATTGTAAAAAATACAAGAAAGTCATTTATGAGATTTTGTTCTAAAATATTCTCCATGGATTCGATGATCAACTGCCAAGTTAAGCGATAATATGTTTTAATAACTTTAAGCTGGATATGCAAATTCAACATGAAAAAACAGTATAGAAAAAAAAATATGTCCTTTTGACTCAATAGTGAAGTCTCCAATCAATATTTTTTATTTAAAAAACCTCTACGAAATACGATGGCTTGTCTATTTTGGAGCTTTTTCGTGTCAGACGAAAAATTATCAATCGTCACAATGATGCACATTTTGATAGAACGTAAAATTGTGCATTTCTATATTACCTGATTAATGGAGACTTGGAAAACATTCTTCAATGAGAATGAGCAGCTTATAAACTTTGCAGTGAAGGCACTTTGTTCTTTATAAAAGTGTCTCTGATTGAATTTGTGAAAGTAAGGCATTTTTTATAGAATGCCTATTATGTTTCATTTGCTGTAAATATTGTCCAGATCCCTTTTCTGTCGGTAGAAAAACATGCTTCAAAATGTTCGAAGTGATTGTTTCAGATTTAACATTTCGTACTTTTTCTAGAGATAGGATCTGAGTTTGTTCAAGATTTTTCACTTAAAATTTATGAGTTGACCTCTAACAGGCGCACAAATTAAATTTTGGAGAAAACTTTGGAAAAAATAGAAAAAAAAGAACGATTTAATTATATCAAGTGCTGCAAGTCATTGATTAACAAAAAAAATTTTAATGAACGAGAAAGATACGAAATAACTGAAATCATTTGTGCAGTGTTCGTTTGAAACAATGTAATTGATGAGATTCTTTCATCAAGAAAGAGATTATGAGCCTTTTAAAACATGGCGTAATCATCCAAAAGCAATACAAAACGAGTGACATGCATGTAATTGCGATGAAAATTTGTAGTTTTAGAGAGAATTCGCTATGGGCACTATCCTGCCAATCGGGGTTTCTATTGGCAACTTTATTTCTTGAAACTTAATTTATGAATCTCTTAGAAACAGGCTAATAAGTTCTGAATCACAAGTCCTACCGAAAATCTCAGTCCATTTGTGCATGAAGTCGAAAACCTTCATTCTACGGCTATCACTTCGAACCTATTGAGACTTCTGGAGATGACAATACGTCTTGTTTAGAAATGTTCTACTCAAATAATACACATTACAATTGCATTAGTCTAATTACTAACTCTCCTGTACACTAAACATCAAGATTATTACGTAAATACTACTGTAGTTCATGAGTTTATTTGATTTATTGAGGATTATAGCAGGAAACTTGATTATTTTTATGTTAAAAACTCATAGAATGAATAAAAAATCTGAATAAGTAGTCATTATACTCGCCTTAGAATCCAATATTTACTGGAACAATAATACTGCATCGTTGTTTTTTTATTTGAATAGACACTATTGAATATGTATGTTTGATAACGATAAAACATCATATATTTTGAATTTATCTAAAAAAAAGCACAAACAAATTTCATTTGATTGTCATTTATTCTGAGAAAATTTCGATAGTCAATACAACTTATTTTTTGGTTCTAGTGTATCGTTTTCTTGTCATCTTGCTAATCAATATTTCGTCTATAAATATCGAGGCAGGTCGAACGGACTGGTCGGAAGAGAAGAATCCATCGTTTTGGAATGAACATGCTCGATTAGATCTTGAGCATAATCTACGAAGACAAGAAAACAAACGAATAGCAAAAAATGTTATCTTTTTTCTTGGTGATGGAATGGGTGTTTCGACGATGACAGCAGGTCGAATTCGAAAGGGACAAATACTTGGTCAGTTGGGTGAAGACTACATCACTGAAATGGAACAATTTTCGCATCTAGGACTTGTTAAGACGTAGGTCTTCGTTCTAAATCGATTTTATCTCTTTTTTTAATTTTATAATGAATGTACAGTTATTGTACGGATCATCAAACACCAGATTCGGCTGCAACAGCAACTGCTTTATTATGTGGAGTAAAAACAACACTTGGTACAATTGGTTTAGATGGACGAGTTTCACGAGCAAATTGCTTGAGTTCGCACGGAACACACGTCGACAGTATACTGAATTGGGCAAAAGAGCTGGGTAAGTATCACCATTTGCAATCGAAATAAAGTTCCAATAGGAGATTTCTTTTTGTATTTGAATTTCCCTAATAAAAATTATCCCATAGAACCACATAAACTTTCGTTTAGGAACACACTTCGATAAGTATATAATTTTTTCGGACAAAGTTATGTTTCGAAACCATTTTTATAATAAAAAGCAAAGTTTTGGATATGAAATATCTCAAACTATCTATTATACCAATGCATTCCGATAGCATCCTGATAGTTCTATTGTATGTGGTTTACCCAGGTTCGTTGTTTTGCGTTCGACTTCTATTTAATTGAGCATTCATCTTCTGATCAATGTTGACAGCTTAGGTCATGCTTTCTTGTCAGCTCAAACATTTTCTTCTTATTAAATTTTCAAAAATAATATTAATGATGAAATCAGCAAATTTAATTGCTAAAAAGTGTGAAATTTTTTTTTTTCATCATGATTAGGACATGCTGTTGGTATTGTGGTTACTTCTCGGGTTACTCATGCTTCACCAGCTTCTGCCTATGCTCATTCACCAGACCGTAATTGGGAAGGTTACGATTCGACCAATTTTGGAGCGAAAGAAGTCGCACAAGGCTGTGTAGACATTGCTCGTCAGCTCATACTCCAATCACCACCGATCGACATTGTTTTAGGTGGAGGTCGAAGATTTTTCTATCCAAATCAAAAACCTGATGTCGCAAATTCTTCATTACATGGAGCACGTACAGACAATATGTCACTGATTGATGAGTTTTGGAATGGTAAATATATTTGGAACAAGACAGAACTTCATAAGATCGTATTGGGATCGCCAGAACCAATACTTGGCCTGTTCCATTATGACCAAATGCGTTTTGAGACGGATCGAATTCGAAATCCGAAAGAAGAGCCGAGCTTGTCAGAAATGGCCACATTTGCTATCGAACATCTGCTGTTGAAAAGCAGAAATAAAAATGGCTTTTTTCTATTCATCGAAGGAAGTCGAATTGATCATGGCCATCATTTTACTCAAGCGAGATATGCTCTTGATGATTATGTTGAATTCGATAATACTATTGGACAAGTAAAACGTATACTACAAGATAAAGGTGTTCTCGATGACACATTACTTGTTGTTACTGCTGATCATTCAAATCCTTTTTCTTTCGGTGCTGGTTCGGCTCGTGGTTCCAATATTTTTGGATATGGTTCTTTAGAAAATGTTAACGTCAGCACTATTGATAAAATGCCAGTACATATTATAACTTATGGCAACGGTCCAAATTTTGCAGCTACTCGCAATAAGACATATTTCGATTCGATAGATTTTAATGGAACCGAATACAAATGGCCAGCAGCTATTCCAATGTTAGAAGCAACACATTCAGGTGAAGATGTAGCTGTGTTTGCACAAGGACCATGGAGTCATTTGTTTATAGGAACAATGGAACAACATACGATTGCTCACAAAATGGCATATGCAGCTTGTTGGGGTGCTTATAAAAAAAGAAAAGGATGTAAATGACCCATTTTATGACTTTTATCACTATCCTACAGAACTATTTCCTATTAGACTTCGATTCACACTGCTAATTATATTATATTAATTTCTCATATCAATCTTGTAATAGAGACAAAAATCAATTATCATAAAATTTTATAAGAATGGAGTTATTGATAGATTTTAACAAGTTCCTACTAGATGCTAATCAATGCATATAAATATATATGTCAATTTTTTTCATAGAATCTTTATATTGTCAAATGGTCAAATTATTCGCCATACCAAAAGTAAATGAAGGCAAAACTAACTTGATGAAAACCTTTATCTATTTGAATCGTTCTTAATCTCACGATACATACATCAATTTCTCATTTTCGCATATGATATACAAGTTTGTTGCTAAGAGAAAACAGTTTTCCATAGATAAAGAGTTAAGTTAATGTTAAACGATTTCGATTATTGTTATACGACTATTTCAAAGAGTAGATAAAAACTGATGAATTCTTTCCGTGGATAATGTCAAGGATTATTAAAATTTCGTTTCCAACATCATACGAATATAACAATACTTTCGTTAAGGAAGAAAGAAACCTCAATCGGATGCAAAGTGTAACCATTTTATCTTTTGTTCTCCCTCGTATAATAAATGCAAAACGCTTGAGCTGTTTTGCGACAGCTTTAAGGTAGTGCACTCATCATAGACGCTGAAGTTGATGACATAGATTCGGAAATAGACTAATAGATAAATCAACTGTAGTACTTATTGTTTTAAACTTTATTTACAACATTTAGAATTTGACAATGTGAAACATTAGTTTTTAACTGAATGGGAATGATTAAAAAAGTGTAGAAATTTAGCCAACATACATTTATCATTTATTAGTCAGACTAGCAATGATTATTTTCAACTTGAAATACAAGCAACTGTTTTAAACAGAAACGACTATTATGCGTATAAAAGAGTGACACTCGCATTTGTGTCAATGCAGCAGATAGTTTGTCGTCAGTTGTAGTTTCTTCGTTTAATCATTTAATGATCATTGTAAGTGTCACTCAAATTACTGTTGTTGATAATGGACTGGTTCTCATTTGTAGTAGTTTATTGAACTGAACTGCAATAGATCGTAATCAGATAAGTGCTGAATCAATTCCTTCATATCCAATCCAAATTAATATGTTTTTTTTTGAGTGTTTTAAAACATCTCTTAGAAATGCATCAATAATTTGTAATTCTATCTGTTTCTGAGGCAAACTCTTAAATTTAGTCAAATCAAAGTGCAGTATGCCATAGATGATATTGAACACAATCACTTGTGCTGTTCTTCGAACGTCTAAAAGTGGATTACTTTAATTAAGTTTTCATTTTGCTTTAGAACATGTTACATTGCACAACATATTGTTAGCAACTCGTTTCCTAAAACAAAAGAGAAATAATGTTGAAATTTCAATATCGGAAAATGTCATGTTTCTTTTCGAGAAAGTTCTACTTTCTTCTAGCATACTTACGTTAGTATATATGATGTGTGTTATAGTTTCTGACTTGTATAATTAGCAAGTACATAATTCTGAAGTTGATCTATTACAGAAAAGATATCGAACTGAATAAACTATCTCCAATAGTAGTATATGTTAGTACTGATAGTCGCAAGACTGTTTAATCTATTTCTCTTTTTCTCTAGAGATTGTCCTATGGTCTTCTACAAGTTGTCTCTCATCAATCAATCTACTTACTTTATCAATTGGAAATTAGTTTCAAGAATGCGCATATATTCTTGATCTAAATCATTACTGAGTCGTGCTATTTCAATAGCTTTTGTTATACATTGAGTCGCTGCTTCCCAATTTTGTATAATTTTGTATACATTAGCTAGATGACAGTAATGATTACTTATTGTTTCATAATCCATCGGTGTATATTTTAATAGAATAGCTAAAGTTATATTAAGTCCTTCAATGGCTGTTTGAATTTCACCAAGTGCTAAGAAGCATGCTGACAATACGCTGTAAAAATGAAAGAAGATATAATGATCTTTTTCAGTAGGCATCAAAGCTTGTAAACCATTAATTACGTGCTGTTCACATGAAACAGCCAATAGCCATTCTCTTTGTAGGCCATGATGCAAAGCCATCAAATGATACTGATAAAGATTTAGTAGTTTTCGTGCTGGTAGATTAATAATTGCTTCTTGACAATGATCAGGTATTTTAGACAAAAGGGTTGCTAGTTGTACTATTTCAGCTTGAGTAAAGGATGAGAATATGCGTGTTGAATTTGATCGATGTAAATATAAAGTGTCGATGCATAGAGAACTTTTGCAACAACCCATTTTTAACCCGATGACAATATTGTTCTTTTTTTTTGTTTTTAATTTGATAACTAAAAATAAGTTTATAATAGAGATGCAGTTGATTTAATGATAAGGGTGGCGCAAAAGAAAACAGAAGTTTTTTATGGTAATCCGAGTAAAACTATCAAGATAAAGTACTTTTTATCACCAAATTTTTTCGAGTAGTGATTTCTCATTATCTCTTCTTGGGAGCTTCTACATGATACATATAAAATCCTCATTCATATTCAGCACTTTGTTTTCAGAGATCAAATAGATAAATGTATGTTCAAAGCAATTAGTGTATGAGGTCCATGTATCTCTAGAAAAAATAAATATTCATTTAAAAATATTGTTTCCCAGGTTAATATTGTTATATATATATATACATAAACACATACAAGTGAATTGCAACTTTTTGGTACGATTGGGACGAAAAACTGAAAGTAGGTCTAAACAGTTTCTGAGTAATATATTTTATTGTACTCTATGCGTGAGTTAAGCTACAGAAGTTTTCCAACGCTTCGCTAAATGTTAAGAGAAATACGCGTTATATAGTTTAGTTTTTGTCTAATTCAACTATAAAATTGGCTTTTCTCATTGGAAAGACTCGAGCTATTTATCATAGTTGAACGAAAAATGAGTAATTCGGAACAGGCCACAATACACTTACACTCACTCATCGCATCTAACTGAGTTACCATATACTTCAAAAGAATATTCTGGGATCGATTCAAATGGAAATATCTGCGGAAAAGCGTCATTCTAAATTTTGCAGGATAATGTGAATGCCTCCTGAATGGTAAAAGATAAAAAATTGAAGTTTTCATCACTTTTGTAGCGTTTTGTTTTACATCTACTGTAAAAATTCGAGCCAAATCGAACGAGCCATTAAAAGGCTATGAAACAGGCAATTCTTAAAACGTCAGTCTAGAAAGTGAGTATAATGACTTCTTTTTCACTTGTCGCGTTATTTGTTTTCTCTGAAACAAAGCTAATAAGAGAGAACTCTTTCTTGTCAGTCTGTTACTATAAGAGTTCACTCTCTTTTCATATGTTCTATATGCCACTAGCTCCATCTCAGAGATAGCTAGAATTGAGTTTGTGTCAGTCTACATAAAAATAAACAAGTGTCTGCCAAACAATGTGAACGTTTGATGAGGGAATAAGGGAAGAATAAAATTCAAATAAATTATATATTATGAAAGAGCATCGAACGCTGCACAACCTAAGCTATTTATATCCATTTTTCCTTGTTTTATTATAGTCAAAAGAATTTCTTTTCTTTACACATGTCACAAAAAAACTGTCATTTTCTGTAATATGTCTTCCATAATTCAGCAACTGTCTGAGATAGAGAACTGAAAGATTGTGTGGGCGTGGCACGAAAGTTATTGAACAAATACAGCTAAAATTTGGATCTTACCAAAAAGTTGCAATTCACTCATATATTGTTTGCTTTCTACATTTTATTGAGAAATAAGAATGTAAAATGAATGCTGAAAAAAGTTGCTGATGAAAAGTAAGGTGTCGACGATTCAAAATCAGAACTACACATTTTTTGTGCGATGATTGAATACAGCTCGTCGATTTCCCTGTAAAAATATTATTTTTTGACATACTTAGACGATCTTTTCTGGTGAAAATTAGAAAATTGGGTTTGAAAATTTTAGAAAACCTATAAAAACTGGAATACACCAAACATATCAAGTCTAGGTAGGCATAACTTTTATCCAAATTTTTTATTTTACTCATTATATAGTTAGAAAAACTGATGCATGCTTTTTGAAAAATATTGTTCAGAAATTCGATTTTTTCGATATGATAGCAAAAAAATGATTATAAAAAGGGGTTCGTTTTCAGATGTTTTTACGATCAAAACTTCAGTTCCAAAAGAAACTAATATCATATTTAGAATGACGTAAAGATTGGTGTTGAGTAGAATCCGTAATATTCAAAACTCATTTTCGTCAAATTTCGATCCTTATACCCTCTCATTGTTGTTTTTGAATAATATGACCTGTGGTTTCGGTATGGTTGAAATTTGACGAAAATTAGTTTTTAGTATTAAGCATGATATTCTATGTGGAGCTTTGCGTTGAGTCTGACTATAATAATCGTGTTTTTGGAAACTGAAGTTTTGATCACGAAAATTTCTGAATAGGGACCCGTTTTAATGACTTTGTTTGCTATCATATCTGACAAATCGATTTTCCGAACAATATTTTTTCAACAAGCATGCATTAATTGTTTCCTAACTAAAATAAAGTTTAAAAAATTCGGATAAACATTGAAGCCATTAAGATTTGATGTGTGTGGCGTACTTAAATTTTTATAGACTTTTCTAGTATTTATTAATCCAACTTTCCTAAGTTCTACTCTACAAACATCGTTTGAATCTATCAAAAGTAACATTTTTATAGGCAATTCGATGAGCTATATCCAGCTATGACAAAAAACTGTCAAAAGAATTTTACTCAAATTTCGAATTGTCGGCACCTTGTGTAAAACCATTTGGTGATAAAAAGCTATCAATAACTGAAAGTCATCTATTACATGTAGAATATAACATTCTTCATTGTGAGAAATCAATATAATTTATAGAACCAATGAATGGTGATCGTTTTCGATACTGTTCTCTTTCTCTTTCTACCTTTGTTTATGTCTGTAAAACTTCTAGTGTACTATTCATTCATGTGTTATCTCATTATCTTACTTAATATCGATTATTCGATGAGAAACAATACAACATTTTGTTAGAAGGCATTACTATTGTATGATAATGATAGTTTTCGCGAAACTCAGAAAATTCTTTCAAACTTTTTTGTAAAAAAGATTTCATGAAGAATCTGCTTATTCTCCTCTCTGAAAGCATTAATCTACCTTGATGCTTTTCAAAGATGCAGCTCGATAAACTATTAAGTCTTTTATTAAAAGAGGACTTTTTTCTATTAAAATAATTACATTAAATAGCCTGAACATTGAACGAAATTGTGTTGTTAAGAAATGAAAAGCATTATTCTATTTAATACAAGGCAAATTTTCATTTTCTGCTAATGAATTATGCAAAGATTTTTACTGAGAAGATGTCATATCTCATATATATATATCGAGTGATAATACTAACCAGTTCGTTTAGAATATAGTTGTTCTCATTCGATGATAAGTATGCGACAACAAGCAAATCTTGATAATTAATCGATTGTGCAAAACAAAATCAATAAAAAAAACATATGTGGTAGATTAAGATAAAATAAATGCTAGTGTATAAACGTCTAGCGTGATATTGACGAGGTCATTTCTTCTATTTCCTTCTCTTCTAGAACAAGTGTCAGGAACGAGATTAATGTATTTGTGTTGTTCGAGATTTTGACGTTTTATGAATTAATGCCATAAGATAGGCGATCTATTCCCATAAGAACACTTCATATTTTCGATGCATATTTATAGACTTTTTCTTTCGAATAATATATACTCTTGTAAGACGATGAATGGTTGTTGTTGATCGTTTATTTGATTTATGATATAATTGTAGTTTTTTTTTTTTGCTAATTTCATTGTGCAACAATTTTGAAAACTAAAACATCGTCTTATGACATGATACAGTTGATATTATCACTCGAAATGGTGCCATTTTCTTGAAAAATATATATCAGTAAATGACATAGAAAATTAACAACTACCAATCTAGTAACATTTTAACATATATATACTCATGCGCCTTTTTCAACTACATATTTCTTTATTTATCAATAGATTTAAGTAATATTTAGATATTAGCTATTTAAGAAAAAGATAAGAAATTAATCTTAATGCAATTAGCAAACATAAGTTAGTTAATTAGGAATGCCCAATTGTAAATAATTAATAAATTTTATTTTTCACTTCAATAAAAAAAATTTATAAGGCATTTTTACTTGTACGATGTATCAATGATTTGATTCTCTTCATACAGTTGATGTTAATAATGTTTTCTTGTGTTCATTATCAAGGACAATCATATTAATCAATGTATTAATGGTAGTAACAATAAGCACGATTAAAAAAATCCTTTTCAATTTGTTTACTAAGTCTTTATCACATGAATTTATATTTCAGAAATTTGATCAACAATTATATTGATGTTGCACAATGGACAGCAGATAAAATAAGTCTAAGTAAACAAGTAAAGAAAAGAATAAAATAAGAGCAAACAATTTTAGATGTACGTGTGGGTGTAAGTGCGGATGAAGACAAGATTCACACCTACAAGCACACTCACACCAAGCGAAATAATAAAACTAATCTATAAAAAACAATATTGTTTTTCACAATCATTGTTTTTTAATAAATAATTTCATAAGAATGAAATCTTAGTTTGATGGAAGTGACAGTTGTTTGATAAAAAAATTAATATTTTCATAGATAAATATAAAAATTAACCATGAGTTTGTGATGAGCCACAACTACTTGCACTGGAGTTTTCCCAGAATTGAAGATAAACGACTTTTTAAAGTATCTTAAAATTATTTATTTACTAACACTAAGAGAACTCATCTTTTTGATGGCAAATGAACATTTACTTTCTACATTCACATATCCATAATCACCTCGATATTTGACAAGAAATACTATTAACATTAGAACTAAAGCTTTCTCTGTAGTTTATAATAAAATAAAATAACAATAACATATGATACTATGTTGATAGGAAAGTATATCCATCTAATTTAATAACTTTTTTTTGGAAAAAATATCCCTTATAGTGTATAAATCATTAATAAAAAGAAAAGCTTGTTAGCGCAGCCCCTTTGGGGCTGAAATGTGGAACTCACATATGTTTTTAGCCTCATTAAGCTGATACAAAATACGTGAAGTGAAAAATCTTTCATAGACTATAGTTGTTTTGCAGGATAATCAGTCGTCAGAGTTAGGGCCTCTCTAATTTCTGCAGATCGAACAGAAATTTATTATTTTTTTCTACAGGTGCCCTATTTTTTTCCTTAATTTAATATTATTATTATCATTGAATTAATTGACAAATACGTCTGTTTTCAATATTCATCATATCTACAGCAGATCTTACGCACTATTATATATATATTAACCAACTCATAAACAATGATACACATGATTTTTCAAAATTATAACTTGATCAATTTCGAAAAGCAAACTCTAGAAAGTCTAATGCCTGTTATTCTCGATTGATAAAGTCTGTCATGGGACGAAGAAGGGTGTGAGGAGCCGTAAAACTTCAACTTAAAACTTACACTCACTATTTTCTTCGAAAATATATATGAGTTCTTCAAAAACCTATAGTGCAAAAGAAGCCTAGAATAATAAACCCTACAAAACGAAATGATGAAATCATCATAAATCTTAAAAGGCTTTATGAAAGTTTGGTGAGGAGATTTATGAGGCTAATAAACTCTTTTTGTTGAGTTTATTATTTTACATGTTTTTTTTTTATAGTATAATTAGTCTACGTTAGAATATATTCTATATTCTTAATATTACCTTTTTGATATTATCAATAATTTTTATCTGTCTATTATTAGCTTCGTGAACAACATGTTCTATATTATTCAGTATGGGTATGCAAATTTAAGAGTGACAGTAGTTTTGATCTCCTCATATACATGCAGTACTTTATTTTCAGAGATCGAACACATTAATGTATGATCCAAGCGATTAGTAAATGGGGTATGTGTTTTTCGAGAAACACTATGTATCAATTTAAAAATATTGTTTTTCTAGGCTAATATTGTGATGCATATATATTCCTTGTTTTTTTTTTACCATACTTTCGATTTTATCTAAACCAACAACATCTTTAATTAATTGGCTTGATTGACAGTGAAGAACAACATAGAGTGAGAGTGATGCTCTCGTCAGTCTAGAGCAGAACCTATACTTCATTAAAGAAATAATGATGTGAAATCACTGCTGAAAAAAGTTGGTGAATTGTGTGTATCATGTAGAAGTTCTCAAGAAGAGATAATAAAAAATTACTAGTCGAAAAGAAAATTGGCAATCAAAGATATGTGGTTTTGATTAATGAAAAGTAGTTTTCTCTAAATAAACTCGTGTATGAACTAGAATGATAAACGACACAGCATAAATGAAATTTGCTTTTTCAGGAGGGTTGTTGCTTAGTAACAATTAAACAAAAATATGAGTCAACTCTTTCAAACGTATTTTCTTATCCTATCATAAAAAAATAATATGTGACGATTCATTTCATTATATACCTATACAAACGAGAAACATTGCTCTGCAAAACTCATGTCATTAAATCGCACTGATGACATGGATAACAATAATTCATGGATTCCACTCTTCGATCGTTTTAATAAAACCATACGAGCTGAAGCTGACACATTGTTCAAGCACATTGCTGATAGTCAAACAAATCTACTAAATGAACGTAACAGTTTATACAAGGAGATCGAGATATTAAAAGAAGAAAAAGAGGAAATGACTCGATTACTCAAGAAATATGATCAAATCGTAACACTTAATATAGGTGGTCAATTATTCTCGACTACGATTGAAACTCTAACCAAAGAAGAATGTCTATTTACAAAGATGTTCAATGGACGATTTGATCTTCGAGAACATCAAGGTGCTACGTTTATTGATCGTGATCCAACGCATTTTAGGTATAAGTGCAATGTAAAAAAATTAAATGAAAATATCATTTAAGTCAATCATATCAAACTAATCGAGTAAATTATTTTGTCTTCTAGGATTTTACTCAATTATTTACGTACAAATACATTTATTGAACCTAAATCAGCTCAAGATCGTGCTGAACTTTTGTTAGAAGCGGAATACTATCAGATTACATCGTTAATCAAACAATTGAAAAATGAAACAGTAACGACTATGATTGTAGTAGAAAAACTTTTGTTTGATTCCACTTTGCATCATCCACAAGTGGTTATCTCGGAAGCTGGGCTCTCAGCTAATTACGGTGGTGGATGTACCAGGCTTTTATATGCAAAAGTAAATAATGCTATGTGGCAAAATGGATGTCACTACTGGGAAATCACTATAGAGAAAGGACACGGTACTATTCTTCTTGTTATTGTATGAAGCACAGTAAGCATACTTAGTCATGTTTAAGGGTGTTACTCATCAATGGGTGTCGCTACTTCTTCGTGGGATACAAATAAACGTTTAGGAGATGATTCTTTCAGCTGGACTGTAAGACTCTACGGTCAGCAGACCAATTATGAGTTTACTGGATTGAGGCATGATAGTAAATCTTTGCCTTATCACAATATATTTCCTGATGGTACACGTGTTGGTGCATTGTTGGATTTGAACCAAGGTACTCTAGAATATGTTGTTGATGGAGTAAAAAAAGGTAAAGAAATGTACTCTATGAATACCAAGTTTATCGATGTTCTTTGTTTCTGGATTAGGTATAGCATTTACCAACTTAAAAGGACATGCAGTCACTCCTGTCTTTGAATTCTGTCACAAAAATTCTTATCGAATGAATCATAATGCAATTGCACCTATCAACTAGTATTCATATGATGCATGGATTCAAAAATTGCTTCTAAAAAATTCATTCTCTAATGAAAATAGATTTGCTTTGTTCATTGTTTTCATCATATACGATCATAAAAAATACCAAAAAAAAAACGGATACACTAGAGAACTCTTCAACATTTCGTGATCTTATTCTTTCGAAACGATTTATCAAACAGAACTTATTTTCCTAATGCTTGTTATCTTTTTCTTAAACTGTACACTTTTGTCTTTCTTATTGAATACATGTATGAAAATGACTTAGCACGAGTTGCTAAGATCTCAACTTGATCAAATCTAACCAATATCAGCATAAAATTCAATGTGGACAGTCTCTACTCATAGTGAATCGAACAAATAACGAGTAGCCCATAAAGAGTGAGACACTTTTTTTCTATTTTTTTTTTGAGGGAATGGCAACACACTCAATGGCACTGTTCTAAGCTCATTCGACAGAGAATTTTTCACTCTACGAAACTGTCTGATTTGTTTTCAAGTAAGTTTTTCTCGCTGGTGCAAAATTTAAAACACAAATGCTTAGTCAGTCATCATCCAATTGTGACGATCAAAAGTGAAACAATTTATCAAAATTTTTGAATAATACTTCAGCTGAAATTTCAAATATGCTACAAACTTCCTCATTAAGTTATGAATCTTGTGATGCATTTTTTCAAAACATTTTAGAAGCAGTATTTTGAAGAAAAATTTTAAAAATAAAAAAAACTGAAAACACCGAAAAAGACTTATCTGACTGGCGTATATCATTGTTCTTTTTTTACTTCAGAACAATCTAAACTGTTTCGCTGTTCAGTTTAACAGTTGCGCCTCTTTACTCAGAATTAAATTTCACATACGACGGCATAACACTTAACTTTTCACAGACCAAGTCTGTTAGGTACAATCATCGTTGCTAGTGATAATCATTTAAACTAAGACGAATTTTTTTAATTTTCTTTAGAATATGTTTCCTACGTAGTTCAATCTGCCATGAAAACAAATGATCATAAAAAAGCAATAATTCAGTATCTCATTCATCTATAAGCTGATACGATATCCAAGAAGGTATTAAATGTCTTTTGAAAGAAGAAAACATTAGAATTGATACCTTTTGAAATTTACTATTTCTCATTAGCTGAATAATTGACCACCTATTTTTTTTGAAATTCTTTACTTCTGATCCTATATCTTTGTTTATTTAAATAAAATTGAAACATACGGTGATGTTCATATTAATTCGAAGCGTGCGAAAGCATATGACCTGAAGACTCTTAACAAACACACGACAAGAAGCACAACAACATTAATATAATTAACATCCATTGTATTAGGACATATCAACAAAAGAAGAATATATTGATGAATAATTTTTTGTAATTATAGTTGTATTAGTCTTCATTGGTTTAGTTTAGAATTAAAACTAATTAATTATTGAAACTCATGCTACTTTTCTAGTGCTGAAAAAACAACTGTAAATTTATCGTTAACACCTACTAAGAAAGGTGACAACAACGTATACATACAGATAATTTGTAAAATAGATATTGCGCACTGAACACAACGTTTAATCATATGATCGAATGTTGGTTCATATTTCACATATAGAACAAAAGTGCAATAAAAAAAAAATTTTTTAGATATAGAAAGAACATCTAAATATATTCATCTCTTGATAATTCAAGTTGTTTTAAGAGTCTTGATATGATTAGCTAATAAATCGTTTACTACATAGTTTTTGTTACTTCTCATGATATATTAAGCAACAAATAGCTTCATACAATCAACAATTATTGGAGTCATTTTCCTGAATCGATATGATAAAACAGTTATATAATCCTTCGTTGAATTACTGAATAGGATAGTTGATACAATACTTGTCAAGTAGGACTGTAATCGGAGTGAAAATTACGTGACTCATCAAATGAAATCATTGCTTCAGAACAAAGACCATCATTAAACGTGTACTTGGACAAATACATCGATATCGTTCGATCGTCCTATAATTTCATGATGTATTTTATATGAAGAAAGAAAATAAAAAGTTTAAATACATTACACGTGTAAATATTAAAAAAAATTCATTCATCCATTTATTTATTGATCATTCAATAAATGTCATACTCTACTGTAAATTTATGACTAATTTGAAGTCAATTCTCTTAATGGACTTGTCTGAATTGATTTTTCGTTTTACAGTCACATATTATATATCATCATAGAGTTATACCGGTAACAATGAACAATGAATGAACGACGCATGCAAATAGCTATAGGCCGAAAACAATTGAGCGAAACAAGAATTGAAAATGAGGTGTGGTATATGTCTATTCAGACTTTTTGATACAGACATCTACGACTCGTTCAATATATATATATATATGTCTATATGTGTGGGCGGTGAGTGCCACTGTGTAAGATATTACAGAATAGGACAAAATATCCTGCATGTGTGTCATTGCAATAGTTGGACATAAAACGAGAGAGAGAGAACGAAAGTTCAAAATAGTGGAAGAATAGTAACACAAACAAATTCGTGGCTTCAGACAGAATAAAAAAAGAATTCTCCCAGATAAGTAAGAAGAGAGAAAGAGAGAAAATCGTTTACGCACAATCAAAATCCAACTTGTTGATACGATAGCATCTTTTAGTTCCTCTTTCTCTCTCCCTCTCTCTCTCTCTCTCTTGATCTTTCTCAATTTACCATCCATTCATTCATCGTATTCATACCGTTGTCACCGCCTTCTAACATACACAACTCTATAGGATAACAGAAGGGAGTGAAGGCGTTTTTTTCTTTCGTCATTGTTGCTGCTGTTCTACTTTATAACGTTGGTCTAACAGATTACTACACAACTTACACAGACCGACGTGACAAACTTGTTCGAATTTTTTTTTGTCGCACCTATTCATTCATTTCTCAATATCTAATAATTATTTAGGTCGCGTATGTGAGCATGAACATGTAGGAGGAAGAATCAATATTCGTTTTTTTCTTCTCTTTCTTTTCAAGGAACGAAACGACGACAAACATTATCATTTTGTGTATTAAACATTATTGTGTTTGTGATCTTTAAGAACACATATGAGAAATGACACATTTCTTTTGGACATTTTTTTTTTCTTTTATTGAAGATTGTTTCATTTGGAACAATATGTTATTGATATTTTTATTACTATTACTCAATAATCGACAGGTAAAATTTCATTTCTATTATTGAATATACATACATCTATACATATGATTATTTGCATATTCTTTAATCATTAGTCAAGTGCAGTCGTAAATTTCTTTTTTGATTTATTCAAAGTCAAAGTTGATCATTTTGTTTCTATTTGTAATACTGACTGAGTACTTATGTGTATGCGCATCGTTAGTTCATTGATGATAGTCAAGTGTGTACACCACCACTCGTCTGTAAAGATAAGAAAGGAAAAGTTTATTTGAATAACCGACATAACAGAAAAAAAAGAAACTAATCTCATTGGCACCATCGATTAATTTTCACAAGAATATAAAACAAAAGAAAAAACTCATTTCTTATTTTGTTTCCTGTCTTTTTCTTGTATTATAAATATAGATTGGTTGTCAAGAATCACCATCAATTTTACTTGTTGATCTACTTCAATTTCACAATCCAACAGGTATTACAACAAATGGTCAATGTTGTGATGGTTCATTTCCTTCGTCAAGTTTTTGTCCTATGTCAACATCCTGTCATCTAAATACAATTGTCTGTTTGGATTTCATCAATAGGTATATTCTTTTTTAATTTGAGAGATTCTCTAAATGCACAGTATAATTGATTTTTTGTTCTGTTATTTGAATATACACGTGTGTGTATATAGAACGATAAAAGGTGATGCCACTTGTCTGGCATAACACTCAATGTCCTAGTATCAGTATAGGTTGATCGTACAAATAAGAATGAGAGTATGACCCTTGAGACAAAAAGAGAAATTTAAAAAGTAAACATAAATGTCTACATAGCCTAAAGAAATTTTCATCTAAATCTTTAGCGAACTTCAAACAAATTGGACTTTATGTCCATTGGGAACAAAATCAATCCGAACAAAAATAAATAATACTAACTTATTTAATTATTATTCAATAAAAAATTTAACTGATATTTTACCATTACAATTTGAATTACCACAAATAAATGATGTGAGTTTGTAAAGTATTTTACACTTATATATATATATTGAAATTCGTTCTGTTTTTTTTTCTTGATTATTAATTAAATAGAATTCAATTGATATAAAAATATTTGTTTTTTATGATAATATGAATATGTTACTGAATTATTTCTATACAACATTTCGTATTGACATGTCATATTCATCATCAACTGATGGAGTATTTCAACAATTAACATTGATCGATCTATCAAAAAAACAATCAAATATAAATCAGTATGTGTTTATTACATTTTGATTTGTTTGCACGTTTTTTTACGAAAAGAAAAGTAACAAAAAAAATTTTTTTTTTTATTCTATTAGAATGATTATTGGTTTAAAAAGTTATTGTCGACCAACATTTTATGGCAAACAATGTTCAATTCAATGTATTCCAAATGATGATTGTACAAGTTCATATACTTGTAATCTAATAACAGGTCAAAAGATTTGTTCATCAGGTTGGTATGGAAGTGAATGTTCAATGCGTGATACATCTTCGACATGTTTATCATCTGGTAAAACTAAAGGAATTTAGTTTTAATAATACAAATACAACATTAAATCGTCTTTTCTTTTTCTAATTTTAAGGATTAACTTGTTACAATGGTGGTTTTTGTCGAAATAATCAATCAACATGTTGCTGTCCTATTGGTTCGTTAGTTGATTTTTTTTGCAAGAATCGTTTTTTTTTTCTTTTATTTAAAAAAAATTTAGGCTATATTGGTTCAAATTGTCAATATCTTTCAACATGCACATCCAGTCAAACTTGTTTAAATGGTGGTTCATGTAGTCCAATTTATGATAATATTTCACGAACACATTATTTTGTTTGCAATTGTCCGCATGGGTAAATAAAACTAATTAAAGTTGAGTTTTATTTTTCTTTCATTATAATTTAGTTATATGGGTTTGCACTGTCAAGAAAAACAACAATGTCCATCATCATTCTATGGTTTTAATTGTACAATACAATGTTCACCATCAAATTCATGTTCTCAGGGACATTTTGTTTGTAATTCAAAAGGAGAAAAAACTTGTTTAAATGGTTGGGGTCCAAATGATACATGTACACAAAAGATGATTGCGCCTATATTTGATCCTGAATGTCCAACTCCAACAGGTTGTCTAAATGGTGGTTCGTGTTTTAATGGTTCATGTTGTTGTCCACCTACTTATACAGGTAAGTAACATGTTCATTTTCGAAATTAATTAATAAATGTGACAATATAAAAGGACGTCTATGTGAAATATCTATTGATCCTTGTGCAAATAATCCTTGTCAAAATAATGCTTTATGTTTATCGACGTCTACTGGATACAAATGTTTATGTTCAAATTCTGTTTATACAGGTTCATTATGTGAAATAAATCAAAATCCATGTCAATATTCACCATGTCAAAATGGTATTTGTCAATTATTAGATAATACAAGTTCATTTAGTTGTATTTGCTATCCTGGTTACACAGGACAATTTTGTCATATTAAAATTAATTATTGTTTATCACAACCATGTGAAAATAATGGAATATGTGCTAATGTAGCAACAGGTTTTGTTTGTACTTGTTCAGTAGATTTTACTGGAACAACTTGTTCAATTCGAATGAATACATGTTTTAATCAAACTTGTTTTGATAATAATATAATTCATTGTCAACAAGGTTTTACAGATCCTCCGAATTGTATAGAAGATATAAATGAATGTTTATTAGAAAATGAACCATGTAAAAACGGTGGTGACTGTATAAATACAATTGGTAGTTATTATTGTCAATGTAATGAACATTATCAAGGAAATGATTGTAGTATTCCAATTGATTCATGTATAAGTAATCCATGTATTGCATCAAATTCAATATCATGTACATCAGTTATAAGTGATACGAATTCAATTGATTTTAATTGTACATGTCGTGTAGGATTTACTGGTAAGATGAACAAAAAATGTAAAAGAAAGTCTGTAATGAAAGAAAATAGTGAGTTATAAGATGAGATTTTCCAACTTCTCCTAACGATCCTAGCTAAATCGTGCTGATAAAGGTTAAGATCAATGATTTTGAACGTCACTAATGGTCTTAGCAACGATGATGCTGAATGACATTAATAAAGAAGCTCAGACGGTTTGAGCAGCTTACAAAATTTTTCTTGAAATTCAAATGGTTGAAATTCATTTGAGAATGTTCGAAATAGTGTAGTTTCAGATTTTTTCATAGATAAATTATTCTATGATAGATATGTCAGGAGATGATGACTAATGATGTATTGATATGCCATAATCATTATTTAATCAAAACAAAAGTATAAACTATTCAAGTTTTTATTTTCTGAAATAATCAAAACTTAATATGTCTAACAAAGAAAGATTGACAGTTGCCAGAAGACTTCTGAACTGATCTTTTGGACCTATCGGCTAATGTTCAAGAGCTATCAAAGTTTCAAGTAGCAAAAAAAAGTAAATTTTATACATCTTAGAAATCTTACTTTTCATCGCCCAAAAAAGGATCTTAAGCCATTTCGGAACTTTATTCAATAGATTCTTATATCGATAAGTTCTAGAATAAGCAACAAAAACGAAATGGTCAAAAATCGAACGTCTTTAGTCCCATGTATCCTGACATATCGAATGGATGTTGCTGAAATTGATCGTAGAACTTGTCAACATCAGAGTCTATCGAATAAAATTCTGAGATAGCTTAAGATCCTTCTTGATGATAAATTTCGGTTTTTTTTTTTGGAACTTGACAATTTGGTATTTCTTAAACGTGTCGATCAATGAGCGTGAGATATTTCGAGACTTTTCTAAACTCATCGAGGTCTTTCTTCGAGTCAAAATATCAACACAAAAGCGCTCTGGAAGTGATACATCTTTATTTATCCGTTAGATCAGTAATGAGGAGAACAAGAATAGTAAACTAAGACAAACTCGAATAGAAATAAATAAATAGTGAGCGAATAACAACAAGCTAAATAAAAAGTAGTTCACCAGTAAAAACAAAAATTCTGTTCGAAATTCAGAGTGTTCATGTTATTATAATGAAGCTAAGATAAAACATGTGAAATTCACACTATATCCTCAAAAGAACTATCCTGATTCCTTTTTATATATTTTTTAGGGACTCATTGTGAAATTGAATTAAATCCATGTATGAATAATCCATGTTTATATGGAACATGTATTGAATTAACACCATCGACATGGTCTTGTACTTGTGAACCTGGCTGGACTGGAATTGAATGTAAAGATAGTATTAATGAATGTTTATCTAATCCATGTTTAAATGCCGGTACATGCATTGATGACGTCAATAAATATAATTGTAAATGTTTAACGGGTTTTGCGGGTACAAATTGTCAAATTGAAATTAATTCATGTTCAAGTATTCCTTGTCGAAATAATGGTAAGTATACGATTATGACATGTACATTTTTGTTTTCTTCTTAAGTAAATTAATTTTTTTGATATTCTAAGGTACTTGTATAAATAATGTTCAATCTTATTCATGTTTATGTCCAATTGGTTGGACAGGAAATTTCTGTGAAAAAAATATCAATGAATGTTTATTTCCATTATCATGTCATCCAAATGCGACATGTATTGATTTACCTGGTTCATATCAATGTGTATGTCCATCATGGTTAACAGGAGAAAATTGTTTAACAGCTATTGATCAATGTGAAACATTCCCTTGTTTAAATAATGGTGTTTGTGTAAATAATTTTGGAAGTTTACCTACTTGTCATTGTCAATCTGGCTTCACAGGTGTTTATTGTGAAGTAAGAAAAATTATTGTTTTTAGTGATGAGAAAAAGATATACAGTGGGGTGCAAAAAAAAATTGCCGTTCCATATATACACTTTCTTGGGTCATATCTGTCAAGTATATGAATGGATTCTTCCGAAAGGTTTTATGGTAGTCAAAGAGATGTCATAGAATGTAATGTGAGCGAGACTTCTTCCAAAGTGTCATTCTGTCGGTCAAGAGGCATAATGATTCGAATGTCCACTGCATTTTTTTTGTACATCAACTGGTCATCTTACATTACACGAATTAGGAGAATCGTTGAGCTGCGAAAATCATTTTTTTATCGAAGGTCTTTGCCCATAACATCTAATGAAATGGATATGAGTTCCAAGCATAGATTGCTCTAGAAGCAAAGCGATGATCACGGTCTGTGGCAATTTCTGTACAGATGTCGTTCCTACTCGATTTTTGCACTTTCTCGATAGTAGCTGATGCGATCGGCTTGAAATTTTCCGAGCAGACAGATCTCGGCTGTTAGATAAAATTCGCTTCCAAGAGTACAGTTTCCAAGATTTTGTCTTCAGATTCAAATAGGAGTCACAATTCAAAACGGTGACATTTAATTTTCCTCGTGCCTCAGAAATCAAGAAAACATTATATCTAGCTGAAACTTTGGCTACAAAAGTTTGATAAAAATGAGGGTCCACGGCTACTCTCATTTTACTCCAAATATATCTTTTACGCTTTGACAGAACTCATATACATACGCAAAAAAAGCCTAAATTATTGTTAATCCATCATTAAGGACATAATATCTACTTCTTTGTGACCTGAAGGAAAGGGTGGGTGCGAATTATTACTTACGATATTTGTATAGTCTGTGGTGTATAAACTATGTAAAAAAAAAACAACTTTCAATATTCCTCGTCTTCAGCAGAAGAATTTTATCGAATACTAACGGCAATTTTTTTGCACTCTACTATATATATAAACAAGAAAATTTATGTTATATTTGTAGATAAATATTGATGATTGTCAAGCAACGCCTTGCTATAATAATGCAACATGTATCGATCAAACAAATAGCTTTTTATGTTTATGTTCATCAGGTTATACAGGTTTACGATGTCAAACAATGATAAGTCAATGTAATAGTTTACCCTGTTTAAACGGGGGAACTTGCCGGGATTTAAATATGAATAATAATGAAGAATATATGTGTCTTTGTTCACCATTTTTTACTGGTCAACAATGTGAACAAATAATAAATCCATGTTTAGGTTTTCCTTGTATACATGGAAGTTGTATACCAACATTACCATCATATAAATGTCAATGTAATCATGGCTATACAGGTCACAATTGTGAAACAATGATTGATCAATGTTTATCAAAACCATGTGGATTAAATGGAAATTGTACAAGTTTATCAACAAGATTTAGTTGTTGTTGTGCACCAGGTTATACAGGATTAGGATGCGAACAATTAATTGATGCTTGTGTAACAAATCCATGTTCAATTGAAGGTGTTGAACGTTGCATGTCAACAGAAACATCATCATTTAATTGTTTATGTAAACCAGGATATTCTGGTCGATATTGTGAAATAAATATAAATGAATGTTTATCTCAACCGGTAAATAAAAAAAAACAGCTGAATAATAATCTAGAAAATATTTATTGTTTTTTTTTTTCTAGTGTTTACATGGTGGAATTTGTATAGATTTTCAAAATAGTTATCAATGTATTTGTCCATTGACTCATACAGGTATTAATTGCGAACATATACAAGATAAATGTATAGGAATACAATGTTTAAATGGTGGTCAATGTATTAATAATGGAGTGAATTTAACATGTTTATGCTCAAAAGGATATCATGGAGAAAATTGTGAATTGATTATTGATTATTGTCAATCACAACCTGTAAGAAAAGTTTAATTAATTAATAAATTGAAAAACAAAACAAAAACTGTTAGCACAATCTCTGTGTAATCGAAATGTAAAACACGATATAGCTGTTCTTGATAATCACATTAAGTTACTGGGACACAGTAGAAAACTCGGAATTTTCTATGGCTATGATTTAAGCGATCAGTATAAAGATTAAATGATCAGTACTTAAATTATCAGTCCCATTCCCACAGAATAGAAGTCCACTCCAGAAATCAGTACTGGCTGAATTCCATGGATTCGGAATACATGGGGAATCTATATGATCTTAAACGATAAGCTGTTCCGAAGCACCCACATGCCAAGATGTGCCCTGTGTGAAACGCCATGGAGCAACATCAGCCAAGCCGTATCCGACGCGGTTGATAGCGTTTCCACTCGCAGTTTCGCTTTGTCGAATTGGATTCCCATGGGTTCTCATGGATTCCTTATGAAGTCCGAATGCATGGAATGCAGCCAGTACTGATTTCGGAAGTGGGCTTCTATTATGTGGGAATGGGACTGATAATTTAAGTACTGATCATTTATGTACTTTTTACTGGTCATTTATCTTACTGACCATTTCATCTATTTTACTGACCCAATATTTTGTGGCCATTTTCTATTGTGAGGAAGGATTTAGTTCAAAAATTATAACGAGATGTTATTCGCATACGATCTATGATCGTATATATTCAACGTCTATCACGATTTGTGATGGTCTCTGACGGATGTCAGAAAATTCTAGCAACAAGTGTTTTCATTCTCGGACTGCTAGTTTTGAAAATCCGATGTCTGTCCAAAGTTATCATGATGCTATAAAAGATTGCCAGTTTATTGGGCAGGTTTTCAACTTTTTACCTCTATAATTGAAAACTCCTTTTAGATTGTCTTTCACAATATTCTTTGTTTTCGTTTAAGTGTTTAAATGGTGGAATATGTTCAAATACAGAATTAGGACCCTACTGTACATGTTCAAATGGCATCACAGGTGTATTCTGTGAGACAATAATTGATCAATGTCAATCTGAACCTTGTGAAAATAATGGAACATGTAAATCATTAATTGATAAATATGTTTGTCTCTGTTCGAATGGTTTTATGGGTAAAAGAAAATGAAAATTGTTGTTTGTTTTAATGCAACAATTTATTTAAACGTTTTAGGAAGCCGATGTGAAAATGAAAGAAATGAATGTGAACCAGTAAATCCATGTTTAAATTCTGGACGATGTATTGATGGTTTTAGTAATTTTTCGTGTCTCTGTAATCCGGGTAAGAAGAAAATAAAAAGAGGAATCTTTGTTTTCTTTTTCAAGGCAATTTTATAGGTTTTATGGGTTATTATTGTGAAACTCAAATTGATCAATGTCAATCAAATCCTTGTTTAAATGGTGGAATTTGTCGAACGTTAATTAATAGTTTTAAATGTGATTGTCCACAAGGATATACAGTAAGAAAGATCTTATAATGTTTTTCTTGTTTTTCTCTTTGAATATAAATATTTGTCATTAAAAAAGGGATCGACTTGTTCGTCAATGATTAATCATTGTTCAAGTAATCCATGTTTAAATAATGGTTTATGCATATCATTGATAAATGATTATCGTTGTGTATGTCTTCAAGATTATATTGGTTTAAATTGTGAAAAAACTTCAAATGAATGCTTATTAAATCCATGTTTAAATAATGCAACATGTATAGATCAAGTTTGGAATTACACATGTGAATGTACAGATAGTTTTACTGGATCAAATTGTCAGATACAAAAAAATTATTGTGAAAGTTCACCATGTATTAATGGATTGTGTGTCAATAAAGTAAAAAAGAAAAATTCTTTTTGTTTTTGTATGAAATTGTTTATTTAGATCAATGGATATGATTGCATATGTCCTTCATCATCATATACGGGAGTTCATTGCGAAATAGAACAAAATAGATGCTCTTCAAATCCTTGTTTATTCGGTGGAACTTGTATTGATAATTTAGATAATTTTATGTGTATTTGTCCACCATGGTTTTCTGGTTTAACTTGCTCCGAACAAATTGATCCATGTTTAAGTCAAATAAATTGTGCACATAATGGAACTTGTGTCAAAGATCTTGATATAAAACCATTTGGATATAGATGTCAATGTTTACCTGGTTTTAATGGACAAATGTGCGAAATTAATGTTGATGATTGTTTATCACAACCATGTAAACATGGAAGATGTATTGATAAAGTCAATGGATTTATTTGTCAATGTTATGAAGGATATGATGGAATTTTATGTGACGTAAGTTGAAAATTTAATTGTTGAAGAAATATTATTTATTTATTTGTTAGAATGTAATTGATCAATGTAAAAATTCACCATGTGAAAATAATGGTATTTGTCAATCATTAATTAATACGTATCAATGTCATTGTGTATCTGATTATCAAGGAAAGAATTGTGAAGAAACAATAGTAAAACCATGTTTGACAAACTCTTGTTTGTAAGTATATCTAACGGTTCAAAATTAGAATTTCAATTTTGACTAGACGGGTACTAGGCGGTGCTCAATCTTCAACCAACAGTTGAGTTTTGCTTTAAAGAGAGCTTGCGTTCTCTCTATGAACATGATCAAGAAGCTGAGCTCGTCCTGCAAGTTTTTTTTTCTGATGACGCCAACTAGTCCGGTTTTGAAAAATTTCTATTGATTAAGTGTGAGCTCGAGTTTGGGGTCGATCCAATTGGTCACACTTAAAAAGTAACACAGACTAAAAAAGCTTCGTTGAAATTAATAATACATTTTGAGTTCGAGTACAAAGATGTTACATCCAACGGGTTCTACTCAATCTGATAAGTAAGAAGAAGAAAAATTTTTCCTGTTGAACATTTAGTTATGTACATAAAAAAGGAGTTTTTGTTTTGCTCAACGATATGTCATCCTAAACTATATAGTAGAATCATGTAAAAGAGGAACCAATAAATTTAAATAATACGTTGTGAAACGAAGAAAAATTCCTTTATATTCAGACTAAATATCTTCGATTTGATAAACTAACTTCTGCTTCATAATGTTCGCAACATATATCTAGTTATTTTCAACAAAATCTTTATTTTTCAATCTGATTTTTTTTAGAAATAATGGTACATGTATATTAAAATCAGATAATGATTTTCAATGTAAATGTTCATATGGTTATACAGGTAAAAAATGTGAAATCAAAATTAATGCATGTTATTCAAATCCATGTCATTATGGAACATGTCATGAAATTCCAAATGGATTTTATTATTGTTTATGTGCATCAGGTTATACCGGCTTTAATTGTCAAATTGAAATAAATCAATGTGATAGTTTACCATGTTTACATAATGGCACATGTTATAAATTATCATCAAATATGTTTAATTGTACTTGTTCAATTGGATATTCAGGTACACAATGTCAATATGTTGATTATCAATGTAATTCTAGATTTTGTTTAAACAATGGTACATGTATAACAAATAAGGATGGTTATCAATGTGCATGTCCACTTGGCTTAACAGGTAATCGTTGTGAAATTGATATAAATGAATGTGTATCAATGCCATGTCAAAATAATGGAATTTGTTTACAATCAAAACTTAATCAATATCAATGTCTTTGTCCAACTGGTAAAATAATCAAAACATTTTCTTTTTTTTTTCTTTTAATCAAACAAAAGGGATCATTAAGCAATGAAATTGTGTCCGCTCGAAATTGAGTTTTCTTTTTTTCGAATAGTTGACTAAGATGTCAAGGGTCGATTGTCACTCAAGTTAAAATGTTTGCGTATATTTGACTCAAAATTTGATATTAATCGATATTCTATAGCATGATACAATGCAACAGTATTTATATGGAAAGTTTGTCTTCCTTCTTGAACTTCTTGAATTTGATTTATATATCAAATGAAAACTGTTTCTTTCATCCATCGAATAGCATAAAGGCGTATGAAAAAATATTGTTCTTTTCTTTTTTATTTTAGATGAGATTGTTTGCTTATATGTTCAATCTAAGAACATATATGACAAAATTTTCTCCCTGTTGAGTGATGAAAACAGCAGTGCACTTTGAATTAAATATTATTTGATAGACTTTTCAAAGTTCTACAAAACAATACTATTGCGTTGAGATTAATTTTTTAGCCAAAATACTTTAAACAAAAGCAATGTTCATAGAAGCCAAAAGTTGTCTTTTATGACTGACATTCGACGAGTTTTAGTCAAAGTAACCAAAATTTCAATCAAAACAAATCATATATTTGGAATTAACATCGAAAATTGAATCGATCCATAGATGACACGAAATTTTCGAATAACTTTTATTGTCGTTGAAAAATAAAGTCGAACAAAACATTAATTTCACTGTGAAAAATCACTTCTAAGTTTTTAAGAACCTAAAGACAGCCAAAATGAAACATGAATCAAAAATAAAAACGATATTTTTAACTGACTTAAGCTTAACTATTTTGACGATACTCAAAGGTGTCCAAAATTTTCGCGATATATATATATATATGGATCAACTTAGTTTTCAATTCTAATTCCAAATATATAATTTGTTTTGATTTGAAGTCGGGTTACTTTAACTAAAATCCATTCAATTTCATACAATAATATTGTTTTGTGGAACTTTGAAAATTCTATCAAATGATATATTATACAAAGTGGACCAGTACTGTCATAGATTAATCGCGAGGAAGATTTGCCATGGATGTCCTTACATTGAACAGACAAGCAAACAATCAAATCTAAAATAAAAAAGGAAAGCATAATATTTTTTCATACGCCTTTATATTATTCGATAGATGACAGAAAGAGTTTTCATTTGATATATAAGTCAAATAAAAGAAGCTCACGAGGACAGACAAACTTTTCATATAAATACTGCATTGCATAATGCTCTAGGATTTTGATAATATCGACTTTTCCGTCAGTGGTGCACAGCTGAAATAAGATCTAACGATTTAACTCAAACGGCCATTGACTTCTGAAATCTTAATATAGTATTAGCAAAAATAAAAAAACTCAGTTTTGTGAGAAAGCCGATTTCGTTACGTAACGATTTTCCTCTTTTAATATGTTCTTTTTAATTAAAAGGTTATACTGGTGATCATTGTGAAACCAATACTGATCCATGTTTATCAATGTTTTGTTTAAATAATAGTACATGTATTCGAACAAGTTTATCAACAGGCATATGTTCATGTTTATCCGGATATACAGGTTTATCATGTCAAAATCAAATAAATACATGTTTAAGTGCACCATGTCTCAATGGTACATGCATTCCATTAGTTAATTCATATCAATGTAATTGTTTTCCGGGTTATACTGGTCAACGATGTGATACAATAATAAATTATTGTTCATCAAATCCATGTTATAATAACGGCACATGCATAAATCAAGCAACATCATTTGCTTGTCAATGTCCATATGGTTTTCAAGGTCGTACATGTGTTATACGTATACAATCATGTCAATCATCTCCATGTTTGAATGGTGGTACATGTTATGATGTTGCACCTGGTTTACATAATTGTTCATGTCCTAATTCTTATCATGGAGAATTTTGTCAATTACGTGATTCATTTTGTTTAGATATGCCATGCCAAAATAATGGTATTTGTTTAGATACATTAAATGGTTATCAATGTATGTGTCAACCAGGTTATAATGGAATAAATTGTACAAATGAAATTCAACCATGTATTTCAAATCCATGTTTAAATAATGGTATATGTCGAAATACAAATAATGGTCTTAGTTATCAATGTTTATGTGAACAAGGTTATGCTGGTCTACAATGTGAATTTGAAATCAATTGGTGTTCATCAAATCCATGTCAAAATCAAGGAACTTGTATATCACAATTAACATCATTTATTTGTCTTTGTTCATCATTATATACAGGTAGAATTTGTCAAACACCAATAAATAATTGTTCATTAACAACATGCAAATATGGTGTACCACTTGTATTAAGTTCAACAAGTTGTTCATGTGTTTGTTCAAATGGTTATACGGGTAATCATTGTGATACACCTATTAATCCATGTTTAAATAATTCATATTGTGTACGTGGTAATTGTAATTATCTTAGTCCTGGTTTAGCTAATTGTACATGTCCAATTGGTTATAGTGGACTTCGTTGTGATACAAGATTATCAAGTGGTGCATGTTCATCATGTCCTTGTCTATATGGACAATGTCAAACAATTGATAATCTAAATGATTATACTTGTAATTGCTATCAAGGTTATACAGGGAAACAATGTAATATATCAATAGATTTATGTAAACCATCACCATGTTTATATGGTCAATGTTATTTAAATGATATAAATGGTTATGAGTGTAAATGTTTACCAGGTTCAACTGGTAGAAATTGTTCAATATTAATTGATACATGTAGTTCAAATCCTTGCTTAAATAATGGTGTTTGTATTCAAGGTTTAAATACATATCAATGTGTTTGTCAATCTGGTTATGCTGGTATACATTGTGAAATATTAATTAATCAATGTACATCATTAATATGTTTAAATAATGGTACATGTATTAATCTTCCAACAAAACCACCAAGTGCTAAATGTCAATGTCCATCATTATATACGGGTATTCAATGCCAATATTTATATGCACCATGTACATCACAACCATGTGAAAATTTAGGAACATGTGTATCTGATGGAACATCTTCATATACATGTATATGTCCAAATGGATTTTCAGGTATGAATTGTGAAGTTAATGTACAAGTTTGTGAAAGTAGTCCTTGCCAAAATGGAGGTAAATGTTCAGAACCAGCACCATATTATTATATATGTCAATGTCCATGGCCATATTATGGTATTAATTGTGAATTAATGTTTAATCCTTGTTTAAGTTATCCATGTCGAGGACCATCATCCCAATGTATATCAACACCAATGTATCAAAATTATACTTGTATTTGTTCAAATGGTTTTCAAGGCCCAACATGTTCAATACCAATTGATCCATGTCAATCAATGCCTTGCTATACTAGTGGTTCATGTATAAGAACAGGATTATTAACATATGCTTGTTCATGTCAAGCTGGTTATCAAGGAAATAATTGTGAAATTGAAATAAATCCATGCGTTAATTATTCATGTATGAATGGAATAGCAATAAGAACATCATTAATCAATTGTGAATGTCAATGTTCATATTCATATTATGGAAAATTATGTGAAATGAATATTTGTGATGATAATCCATGTTTAATTGGACAATGTATTTCAAATGGAAATTTTTCTTATACATGTAATTGTCCAGTTGGATTTCAATTTATAATGGGAGTGTATGTTATTCATATGCAAAAAAACAGATTAGATTAGGAAATATTCGTTTTTGTTTTTTTTCATTTTAGATGTGTAGATATTAATGAATGTAGAACAATTGCAGGAGTTTGTGGAAATGGTGGAAGATGTTTGAATACATATGGATCATATTCATGTTTTTGTAAAACAGGTTTTTATGGTAAAAATTGTGAAAATTTTGATCCATGTCGATCAATGCCTTGTGTTAATGGTGCAACTTGTCTGTCGAATGAAACTTATCCTTATTGGCAATGTAATTGTCCCCCAGCTTATACTGGTAAGAATGAAATAATAATCAAATTTTTTTTTATTCCCTCAATTGAAGGAAGAAGCCTACGAAATAAAATAAAATGTAGTGGTATGTTTGCAGGCACGTGTAAAGTCACGTATTCATTTGTATTACTATAAGTTTAAAGTATCTATTCGAGGTAATGAATGTGTAAGTATGAGTATGATTGATTGAATAGATGAGGAGAGACACTACACAATACGCATACTCGAGTCTTGTAGGGTAAGACGTTTTAATATCCTATACCTTATCCTAAAAGCTTTGCATCCTTACTCTACTCTAAGAATGTTCAAATTTTGGCATATATCAACATGAAGTTTGCTTCATTATGTTTTAAAATATATTATTGATTTTTAATGATGATATAATATAAAATTATCATATATTTTCAAAGTTTTCTAAGAATAAAATGTTATTAAAAATATTGCCGCTGAATCCTATCTTTTCTCTTCCGCCATACTCTCGCTTGCACTAAAAATATATGTATTTGTGGTTGAAACTATCAATTGTCTTTTTCCAATACACTAATTTGTGGATAGTTCAATGACCAATTGTTTCATCAGTTCAATACTAATTCTTCTTTGTCAAAACTTGATTTTCCTTTAACATAACGACCAACTTCTTCTAAACTAGAAAGATGTCAATAGTGTCTTCAAAGTTGCTTACCAAAACACTCTTAGTTATATGAATAACAGCCTACTTCATACCGTGGAGAACTTTGATGCACATGCAGCTCCATATATACGGTTCATATTCGTATTGAGTATATTTATAAAGTAATATATTGTACAGAACGGGTTGAACATTTTAGTTCAGAATCAAGCGAGTCTCAACGACGAGCATTATTTGTATATTTGTTTCTGATATATTTTAGGTTCTCATTGTGAAACAATTTCACTTGGTTGTTCATCAAATCCATGTCGAACAGGAACTTGTATTAATCTTTTAAATGGTGAATATCAATGTTTATGTCCAACTAGTATTACAGGTAGAAATTGTGATACATCATTATTACCATGTGATTCAAATCCATGTTTAAATAATTCAACATGTTTAACATTATCATTAACAAATTATACTTGTGTATGTCCAACGTTTTATACTGGTTTAAGATGTTCTGAACAAAGAAATCTTTGTTCGAAAACTTCATGTCAAGGAAATGCAACATGTATTGCTGATTATGATTTAGAAAAAGAAATTTGTTTATGTCCATCTGGACGTTATGGAACTTAGTAAGTTTAAGATGAATGAATTAGTTTCGTTCAATTGCTTCTTTTTTATACTATAGTTGTGAATTAGTTTCTGCTTGTGAACCAAATCCATGTGTACATGGAACATGTCAAAATAAGAATGAAAATGCATTTCAATGCATGTGCAAACCTGGATTTACCGGTAATGAATAAATAAATAAAATTTTTACGATATATAATTCTCTGTTATCAGTTGGATTCGAGTTTTTTAAATATAAACGTGTTCATCAGCAAACTAAGAATATCTATTCAAGATTTTTGTTAAAAGCATTTTCTAACTGTATCTTTGCAAAAATTTTTACCACTTATTGTTTTTTTTTAGTAATATCAACAGCTTCGAACAGTATGGAAGTTTAGTGTGTAAAAGGAAAGTTGATTTCTCAGTATTTTCCGATTATCTTCAATGTTTTCGATTGTATTTTGCTGCTCTCTTTTTCTTCTCGTTAGACTCGCCATCAAATTTTTCGTCAATTTTATAGTGAACAGTGGAAAGATTGTTTCAGATAGCACGATGAAAAAATTGGAAAAGAAAGTTTTAGGATATATCATTTATATTTGAATTTGAAACCAGTGATGGATCTTTAATTTGATCAATGCCATTGGGTTCCTCCATAGGAAACCTCCAGATGAAAATCTCATTTTTCAGCCCTTCCCTCCTCTTGAATATATAGTTTCGAAGATATTTTAAAAAGAGCCTATTTGTTCAGGTAGAGTTTTTTTTTCATATTAAACAACTGAAATACTATACTTAATTTATTCTTAGATTATGAATCATACATTTCTAAGAGGTTGTTTTTTTTGAGAATGCTGATCAAAACCAATTCAAGTTGAAAAATGCATAAAAATCGATAAAAAAAATCTTAATAAGTCTCTGAACATTCAGATTCATCTGATTTAGTGATTAGTAGGATTAATTATTTTTGATTCTGATTTCAAGCTTAGTAATACATATACTAGCAAAAAACTTCGATGTAATTTTCTAACAGTGTCAATGAACTTGAGACATCTTGCATGACCTGTACTATCCTCCCTGTTGAAGATCTATTACTTTTTCCAATTCACTAATACTTCATCTATTCTGCACATTCACTTATTCGACAACTTTGCTATTTACGAAAAAAAAGGAATGATCTTATTATTAACATTGTAAAAGCAAATATTGCGATGATCGTTTCTCGATCATTTTTGCATAAACTTTTAGAACCTATCAGCCGTGAGAATAGGACATTTGATACAAATTTTACGCGACTATAAGCAATATTAGTCCCAATGAAAATTATTGATCTTGGACTATATCTATTCTATTCCTCCCTTGCTTCTTCTCCTGGTCATCCTTGATTGATGACCCAATTCCATTAAAGTCTATAAAATAATGATTGTCAATAATCTCGGATATTGTTAATATAAGCGCGTTAATGTTCTTATGCCGGTAGTTCGCAGAAAGAATGAAAACGAGCATTGATCATAAAGATATTTAGAGTTCTATGGTTCGACTTTTTTTCGTTATCTAAAACAATGCCGTAATATATTCAGCATGGTTTGGTAACAATTATATATAGAGAAAAGATCAACACTATCAAGTTAAAAATTATTTTATGTGAGCGATTTCAATTGGTTTTAGCAGATTGTATGTGAAGACTGTTTGAATTTTTATTTTTTAACGTTAAAACATCATAAAATAGAGTTTACTTTTTTAAGCACTACATGTAGAAAGAGCTTTTAACGTAGATTTCGAATAGATATTCTGAAGTTTTTTTAAACATCTTAATTGAAACTTAAGTATCATTGATGCATGATTAAATCTTTAAACTGATATGTATAATTCAGTGAAAACGAAGAATTAAAACTTATTTCGATATGCTATCTATTTGACTATTGATTCAAATTTATTTAGGCAATACATGTGATATACCATTTAATATATGTGATACAAATCCATGTAAGAAATAATTTATAATTAAAAACAGAAATTAAAAAAAATAAATTGATTTTTTAGGTGTAAATGGGGGAACCTGCTCAAATTTAGGCAATGGATTATATATTTGTACTTGTCCACAAGGTTTTACAGGTAATTATATTAAAAATACATATTTGATACAAAATTTATCTTCATTTTTTTATAGAATCTGATTGTAGTATTTCACATTGTACTAAAAATAGTTGTTTTAATGGTGGTATTTGTTCTATTCAAAATAATTCTCGTCAATGTCAATGCCCATGTGGATTCACTGGTAATGAATTCAAAAGAAAAATGAAGATTTTTTTTTTGTTTCGGAACAATAATGTTTCGTTTCTTTTTTGTTTTGTTAATTAAGGAAGACGATGTGAAACTCCATTTGATATATGTTCATTAACAATATGTCAAAATAATGGTACTCGATTGATGAATATAACAAATTGTCACTGTTCATGTTTATGTTCATCGACATTTACTGGTCACCTTTGTCAATTACCAATCATACCAATAAATAGAACATATCCAGGACAAATTGTAATTCCAACAAATCGATTAGGAGGTAGAAGATAAAAATATTTCAATAGAAAAATTTGAAATAATTCTTTAGGATCATCATGGGAAAATATTTTGCAATGTATTGATCAAGTTTGGAATAGTCTAAATGTTTTACTTGGTAAATTATTTTATTTATTTAATAATAAATTTTCTTATAAATTAATTTAGTATGTCCATCACCATATAATCTTGTTATTCCAACATCATTTTATCCATATTGTTATCGTACGAATCAACAAGATTTCCTCAAGAATCAACGCGAAGCAATAAATGAATGTAAAAAACAGCAAACTCAATTAGTTTGGTTTCAATCTATTGATGAATTAGAACAACAATTGTTACCAGCTTTATTTTCTCATGGATTAACTCGAGGTTAGTTTATTTGATGTTTTCTTTTTGTTTGTCAAATGTGAATATTTGAAATTTTCTTTAGATTTTTGGACAAGTGGAATATATAATTTCAAATCAAATCGATGGCAATGGTTATTAACAAATAATAATACTCAAATTGATATTAATCCATCAATAATAAAACAATTTGAAATTAATTCTCTTAATCAATCACTTTATGTTTCATTTGATCAATCAAAAAATCGCCATTTAATCACAAGTTCATCATCAGAAGTCTATTCAACCTTATGTAAAATATCAGCCACGCGTCGTTTGTTAAATAACCAAACACGTTCTATTGATCTTAGTTCATATCAAACAACCTCTATTAATCAGTAAATTTTTATTTGTTTCTTCTTTTGTTTTTTCTAGTACTCACATAAGATTTTTCGAAGAAAAATAAGAAGTGTAAGTTGGAACTGAGGTTTTAGCGATTCCCGTCTCTAGGTCCTAGCTACCAGACCAAAGATCATTAAGTAAGTTTCCGTAACAATTGAGGACGACAAGCTCCAGAATATTCTCTCATCAGTCTAAGCACCATCAACAACATGACTGAGACGGTTCTTGCATATTCCAAAGTCTTCCTTGAAATGTAAATGATTGGAATGCACTTGTGAATATTCTAAATAGCGCAATTTCTGATTTTTTCACATATAACAAATTATATGATAGACTCCATGTAATTCGAACCGGAGAAAAGCCGGCGGTAGTTTTATACTTAAACGGTTGGCTATCCCTCTGACATATAATCTACTGCCAGTACACCATCGGTTCTTATGATTTATGGCATTATGCCGGTGGTAGTGTGAACAAATGTACAACATAGATGCCCATTATCCTTGACATTCTATGAAGTATGGATAGTAATGTATTGATTTGCTACGATCTTCATATGATCAACATGAAAAGTATCAACTGTTCAAGTTATAACTTTGAAAAATAATGAGTATCAGTGTTTCTGATCTTATCAAAGTCCATAATAGTGTGCTGAGACCTACTGTAGATATAATAGATATATACGACAGATGTTATTTATCAGTTAAAACAATAGTCAGAATAATAGTAATGTTAAATTAAGAAAAACGAAATACGAAAAAGAAAAATGGCAAATAAAAAATAGAGCACTAGTAAAAAAAAAATGTTGTTCAAAATGTAGAAATAATTACGACAGATAATTTTTCTAGCAGTCGATTATCCTTGGTAAACAACTATACTGTGTTGAAGGTTGTTTAACTTTCATATTTTTTTTAGTATAATGAGATTAAAGAACACATGTGAGTTGCATATTTTAGTTCGAAAAAAGCTTCGTTGACATGAATTTTGAAAATAAAATTTTAATAATAAACTTTTCTTTAGAACTGAAGTTATTATTTATAATTTTAATTATACTATACTTCCAACCATACCTCTCAACACACTTATTCAACAACCAACAGATTCTCAATATGTTTCTACGTGTGGTGCTTTTGGAAATCCATCAACATCTGTTGAACCATATATTATTGATATATGTGGTTATTTTCCTTCAATTGCAAATCAAAATGTTCAATTACTAATGCAAACAATTGGTAAATATTATACTAATTATCGAATTTCAATTAGATCAATACGTAAGTTTAATTCAAGAAAATTTATGAATAAACCTTTGAATTTTTCTCACATAGAATCTTATATTGCTACACCATTAAATATTGAACATTATATAACAATAACTGGTAACATAATGACACGAATACATTTTGTCATAACAAGTGAATCATCAATAATTCTTGGTTCAAATATTGAACCATTAGCATCAATTAATGATATATTGAATACGATACCTTATCGATATTATCAACAATGTGTTCCATATATATCATTAAATATTCTTTTACGATTAAAACTATGTATTCCATTAAATGAAATTTCATTGTGGATTAATTTAATTACAAAAGCAGTTTCCGCAGCTACTGGTAAGAAAATATTTGTTATGCGAAATATTCAAATATTTAATCTGTTTTTATTTTTCGTTAAAAAAGCACAATCAAATGTCAATGTTATATTTAAAGGTGCTCAAGAAGGTGTTACAACTACTGGGTAAATTGATTTTATTTGTTGACAAAAAAACACATTTTGTTTTTTTTTGGGAAAATTTTCTCTTTAGACAATCAGCAAATATTGCATATTTCTTAATAACAATTGATGGAATAACATATAATCAAACAATGATTAATAATCTATCAATGAATTCCATTCTTCTTTCAACTATTCAACAAGGAAATGAAAAATTATTATGCCCAGAAGAAACACAAATTCTTCTCTTAGAAAATAGTATTCGAGATTTTCATGCTCCTTGTTCAACTCCACAAATGTAAGTAAAAAGAAAGTTATTGATATAAAGTCTATTATGCATAAGAAGGTGTTGCTAAACCCTTCCAGAATAAAAAATCATGACATTCTATCGTAGAAATTCACATCGTTCTTCCAAAGATGACTTTCTATTACGGACAAGTTTTTTGCTAACAATTACTTAAAAAATCAAGGTTTTAGTAGAACTCGTACGTTTTCGAAGTAAATAGTCGGTTCCCTCCATTAGAGACTCTAGCAATCGGAATAAAAGATCATTGAATACGTTCGCATATCAAAAACAGGTATGAATGAACCATTTTAATACTGTTCTTCATTGTACTTACGGTAACCAAAGTGGGAGGTTTGCATAGCAAATAATAACATTTGTTGAAATTTAGAATTGAAGACAGAATCAATCACAGCAAAGAGTACAGAATTAAGCTACCAAGATGTCTACTGGTAATAGTGAAGCAATGTTTAATGTACGAAAATGTATGTCAGTTCCACATATCAACCTCACGGAGCGGCGCTAATAATCTTTTTTGGATTTTTTTTTATATTCAAATAGATGTTATTAACAACTAAGTGCCGAAAAAATAGATTTTTTTATCAAACTCATTCTCGCCATAGAAGACCTTTCTTAATTAATTAATTTCTCGCAAAACTTCAATGATAATTAGTGCATTGAAGTCAAAATATACTTTTTTGTTAGCGTCTACAGGTGAAAAGTCTTAAAATCACTGAGATTAATATTATTTTTGAACTTTTTAAATGCTAAAAATCTCTTGTCAAATCCTTGAAATCGTTTTAGTTTTGTAAAAAAATCTTTCAATTAAAAATTATGAAAATAAATGTGTGACAAAATCGAAGGTTCCTTGAAAAAATGCTACACTAGAACATAATAGAACGTCCAAGCTCTTCTATTGCGCAAAGGGTTGAGAAAACAAGTCATTTTAATTGGAAAAAAAACGATTTTTCACTAAAAAAACAGGTTTTCTAAGTGCTAAAATCCGCTAGATGTTCGAAGCAACATTTTAGAAATCTATGACTTTATAGTTTGAGGAGAGGCTCTAAATTTTTATCCCTATACTTCAATATCCTATTAGATCGTGTTTCACAACAAAAAAAAACAAACGTATAAAATCCATTAAAATGAAATAATTTTAGACTTGAAAGGCAATTAAATAATGCTTTACATCAAGCTGGAATTTATACAATGAATGTAAATATATTTGATATGGAAGAAGTTGTTGATAGTTTTGGGTAAGTCTTTTTTCAATTTTAAAGTTCTTTTTTGTTTTAAATTTTATTTATTTATTTTGTTTTAGACAAATTTATCGTTTACCAAATATCTTCTTACAACATATTAATGGTACTTGGCTTGATAGTTCACTTGAATTAAATAATGAATTATATGAAATTTTAATTTCTAATCAAATGCAACGATTAACAAATCGTGTTTATCGTTTATCAACATCTTTTTCTTATTTTTATTCAAATTCTTTATCAATAAATGATCGTAATTATTTACAAAAACTTATTTTAATTTTATTTAATCAACAAAGTAAAAAAATATAATTGATAAATTCATTAAAATTTATTCATTTTTTTTAAAATTTAGATTCAATTATAAGTAATGATGTCAAAATTTTATATGAGGATTTATATTTAAATAAAACTTCAATGAAAATAATTCGACGTATTTATTTATTTGTTTTTTATAATGGACAAGTACTTGATGGAAGATATTTATCATCATTAATTTTATCATCAGAACAATTTAATGGAATTGATTATGTACAAAATCCATTAAATTATAAATCAAATCAAATATTAATTGATGTAATTAAACAACGTGATATACAACAAATAACATTTTCAGGAAAGATAAGTAAACTATCTGCTGAAAGAATATTAAAGGATTATTGGCAAAATCCAATTAAACAAGATTTACCAAATACAATTGTTGATATCATACAATTACAAGAATATCTAGCCTATTCATCGAAGTAATTCAAGTGTTTTGTTTGCAATTTTATTTTTATTTTTCCTGTGTTTTTTTTTAGTCAATTTTATACAACAATAACATATAGAATTGTTACATTCGACGATTATACTATTCCAGATACATGTTTTAATGCAAGTTTATTTCCAACAATGCATAGTTTATGTGATACGGAAAATTATTTTATGGAACAAGTACCTATTGGATATATACCGTCATTTATTGATCTAAAAGGAAGTTATTTACAATTTGATCTTGATGAAGAAAATTTTCCTGCATTAATTACTTCATCATTACAACGAATGGGTATTAGCGGTGAAAGTAAATTAAATGAATTAGTTTTAAATTCGAAGAATAAATTTGATACGAATAAAAAGAAAAGAATATTTCAATGTGAAGTTTAAGGAAAATTTATTAAGTGAAAGTTTCTATGATCTGAATTAATAGGTTCTTATTTATGAATGAATAATAGTCGAGATATTTTTTATTAACTTTCTACAACCATAATTCTCCTTTTTTCCATGCATACAGAACAGTATTAACTGTTAATGTTTTATTAAAATATAGAAAAAAGTAAAATCTTACGTAACATCAGATAAAACGGTACAAAAGATTGTAGTCTCAGAAATCTTATACTAAATCATACTATGAGATTCTTGAAATATCTTACCATCACATAACATCCCTTATTATCTTATAGTAATATTTTACAATGCAGCAAGATCTTTGAAGAATCTCATAACATGACTTAGTGCAGACTATCTAACAGATTCTTACTTCTCAAGTTTCCATTTGAAGAGCTACAAAATTTTTGTACGAACATCCATTGTATAATTATTTGCCTTTATCTCTTTCGAGATTTCTATCCGTTAGAAGTATCGGTTTTCAAACAGAACAATATCTTGAATTACAATTTTTTTTAAAATCAGAATCTAAGAACAACAAAGTCACTTTTATTTAGTTTCATCTATATTAACCGAACCACGGTTTGGACTAGATATGGCATTACTAACACGAGTTTATTACACAATCATACCAAATCAAATAATTAGTCAAGAACAATTGTATGATAAATTGAAGGTATGTGTTTTTCAATTTTGACAATCTAAGAATAGTAAGGGACATCAGTTTAAAACAATTGTGCTTTTAAAATTTTCTTCTCGATGGTACTAGCTAGCAAGAATCTGAAAAAAATATAAGTGTAGTTGAAAGAACTCTTTATTGGGATTAGTAGGTCCGAATATTTCAACAAAACTGTTTAGATGAAGGTCTACGGAAAACCCAAATCTTCAAAACAAGTTCTCTAGTTTCTATTCTAAGCGTTTGGCAAAAGATTTTTGTTTTATAGAGCAAAATAAGATGTTTCCATTCTCTTCATGAGCTTCCTTCATCGAACTGCATTCATTTTATCGAAAGACCCAAAATGTAAAACATGACAAAAAAAGCATCAGAATTTTCAATACAAAGAAGAAAAAACGGTCATGAAGAGATCTGAAACATCTCATTTTGTTCTATCAACTAAAATCTTTTCCCAAAAGCTTTGAATATTAGTGAGAAAATTGGTTTTTAGGATCTTGACTTTTCGCAGATCCTCAGCCCAAGCAGTTTGGGAGAAATCATCGTCGAGAAGAAAGTTTAAAAAAATAATTGCTCTGAATTTTTGTCCGTAACTATATTTGTTTTCAACTCTTCGTTTTATATAGTTGACTTTTTCAACAATACAAACACGAAAATATGAATTGTATCCAATGGAACAATTATCTATTGTACGCACTGATGCACATCAATATATCGCCAATGTTTCATTACCAATAAATGATTTCATTCGAAAAGATACTGAAAATTATTTAACATCGTTTAATCCACGTATGTTTATTTGAAGTAACAATCAATCAAATCGGTCTTTCTATATTCTAGAATATGGACAAGCAAAAATTGTTTATGCTGAAACTCTTAATATTAATCAAACTCGTTTTTATTTAACTGTAAGACTGATTTCTAAACAACTTTTCTTCTATAAAATGTTTTTTTTTCTCTTTTAGTTTATCAACCAAAAAGAATTAATTACTCGATGTGATTTCAAACTTTATTATCCTGGTGTTTCAACATATAGAGAAGAAAATCTTGAAATGCATAGTCTTTATCTTGAACGACATACTTTCTTTGCTAAATCAGCTTCACTTATTGATAGTCTTACTCAATTATGGACAAATGAAAATTTAAATGAATCAAAAAATTTAAGTATTCAATTACAAAATCAAATCCAATATATTTGTTCAGATGGGTAAATTTTAATTTTAAGAAAAAAAAAGATTAGAGTGTTTTTGTTTTTAGAAACCGATCTGTTCGAATTGATTATATGATTAAAAATCTTGCAGTTCATAAACTAAAATTACCTTCTAATTCAGCATTTGAAAAAGTTTATGGAAAATTTTCTAATAATTGTATTTCATATGAAGTACGCTCGATATATTTAATTGAACCACGTTTATCACATCGAGAAATTCATGAAGCATTAGAAAATGCTTGGCGTCAATCAAATAGTAAGCATTTCTTTTTTTTATATAATTTTCTTTTATTAAAATTTTTTTTTCTTTAGATAATTTTCCAATAAAGATTTCTTCAGAATTTTTTATGCATTCATCTTATATAACAAATAAAAAGTAAACTCTAAGATTTGTTTTTGAATTCTATAATTATCATTTATTTTTTAATCTCTTCTAGTAAAACATTAACACGTTTAATTTATACAATAAATTCTAATACATTAAGATTTATTCAACCATTACCAAATTCTATTCATTTACCAAGTATTTATACAGATATTCCATATAAACGATCGACAATTTATGTTGAAAATGAAATATTAAATTCAACAATATTATCCATGATTAATAAGGCATTACGATTAAGTTGGTCAAAAGCAAATAGTTATCTTTTTTCACCAAATGATGTATTCATATCATCAATTAATACTGTACCATGCGAGTGAGTTTTTTCTTTTCACTAACAAAAGCATCGATTGAAGAGATTTATAATTGATTAATCATATTTAGATGCATAACTGTTTATATAGTATAAAAATTTCATCTAAATATAAAGCGACCACTTGCCGCAATAGAATTCATTGAAGTTTTTCATATTGTGTATCTTCTTATTGAAGGAATATATTCGCCCAAAAGTAAATCGTATTAATACAAATGGCACATCAGTATCAAAAACTATAAAAAGCGTCACATTCTTTTCTATGACTATGTCTAACGAAAGAAGTCTCTAAACTGCTTAATCACTTTTGAGTGAGAACTTGCATTTTTGATGGTTTTTTTAAAATTTTTACTTAAACTTTGTAATTACAAAGATAGACCTTAAAGAGAGTAGTTTATTGTGAAATTTGAGTATCTTTTTATTTGCTTCTATACTGGAATAAAAAGATTGAATTTGTGGGATAATATAAGCGACGTGAAAAGCATGCTTTTATCATAGCCATATTTTAGGATAGGAACAATGAAAAGATCTGAAAGTCGCCATAAAATATTCCAATTAAAGGTTTTTTCTATACAAAACTTCAAGTGGAAGTTCGAAAATAACTTTCCTTAGCTTTTCTGAGAAGGATTGCGGCATTATACTTCAAAACACCATTAAAATTCAGTATCTCCGCAGTAATAAGCGAAGTGCTCGAACTCTTTTTAATTTATTCATTGTTCATTTGAGTCTATCTGATGTACTAGAAAATTTAACATTATTACGTAGACCAAATCATGCATTAGTTTTTTTTTTGTCGAAAGAATAATTTTAACAAACATAACTTTGCTACATTCTAATAGTATGTGTTGAATAGTGAATTTGCTATAGGTACGTACTAATTAGTTTTATATTAACTGAGTTGATTTGTACATTCATTTTGGTTAATTGATCTGAAGTTTCTGAACAATTCATATTAGTCTACTCAGGTAAAACGAATACTTCAGTTCATCTAGACAGAAGTTAATTATCAATATTGACTCATTTGAGACAGAATTCTCTGTTAAATTTTACATTGTTTCCAATTTAATTAATCTATAAACTAAAGTTTCTTTCTAAAATATATGATTTTATTTTACTAACAGTCTTTTTATAGAAGAAGATTTGAACTTCATGTCTATCATAGGAAAGCATAAATTTTATTTTCACATTCTTAATAACTATATAATTGGACGACGGTTCGAGTATGTGATAAGAATTAAATTGATATTTCATTTACAATCAAAATATTGTGTTGTACAGTGTGTACTAAAATTATTCAACAAGGTTTATTTTCAATATTTTTGCTGTTGTTATGAGAGCTAGAAAGAATCCAGATAGTGATTTCAATAGAGGACATTGTTCCCAACAAGAATATAAGTAAATAAAAATGATTATCAAGTTTCCAAATGTAGTGACTCCAAAAAATTCAAACTAGTTTTTCAGCACATAGAACGCATAAAAAAATCTTGTTTAAATCACATAAAACAACATATAACCAAATTACTATGTAGATTCTTTCTAATGTTTACGACAGCAGAAAAAAAATTGAAAAAAAAAACCTTGTTGAATAACTTTGGTATCCAATATATATTGTTTTGAAACTATTATAAGAAAAAAAAATTAAATCTTTAGTAATGGACAAATTAAAATTGATTATATAATTGGTTTACGATCTGGTGATATTGATGATTATTCTCAACCATCTGAACAACTTTATTCACAAATATTCAATGACACTAATTTAACAACATTAGTTTATCTACGTTATATACAAAGAAGTAGTAATGAGATATTATTAAATACTGATCAATTAGCATTGTTTCCATTTGATTCTCGATCTCATGGTCCATTCTATGCGGTAAATTATTTAAATAAAGATGATGAATTTTGTTTTTGTTAAAGTTATTTTTTTTCTTCTAGCCTGATTGGTGGATTATTTTAATTATTGTTATTGCTATATTAATCATATGGTTAATTTTATGTGTAGTTTGTTATATATGTTTTCGAAAACGGTCAGAATGAAAACAAAAAGAAATTAATCTGTATAATTTAAATATTTGTTTTTTTTTCTTTTCGTTTGTTTTCGAATAGATCAACAAATCGTTATCATCATAAAATTTCTAAACGTCCAACAAGACATATGGATATTCTAGCTCGAGAACAAGATCATTATTTACGTCCATCATTATCTTCATTAGCATATGATGGACCATATGCGGAATCATTTAATTCATCAGCTGATGATCAACAAAGAATATCAACAAGAACAATATCTTCACAACCTGAATTACAAGTTCGTCGTTTATCCGAACAAGATTGGCCACATTTTGCAATGCATAATCCATATGGATGGTCATCACTTCTTTTAAATTCACCATCACATTCAACTAATTCAAATCGTCCATTATAAATTTTTTGTTCTATGACATTTTTAGTATTAACAAAAGAAGAAAAACACTGATGTACTGTGATTGTATAACATATTCATCGGGGTCGTTTGGTATTTAATGCGTATTAGAATATTATATGTAAGATACCTGCTTGCCTTTTGATTGATATTTTTTTTGTTTCTTTTGTTTGAAAAAAAAAAATAAAATAAAAAACTTTTAATCAATAAAATAAAATATTGAGCTCTTTTATGATACACTTCGCAAGTCGAATAGAAGAGTCTGTATGAAAAATAGCTATACCTGTCCAAAATTAACATAAGCGGAATTCATGGTGTTTCTTTGTAAGCGTTTCTCTTTTTGATATTCTTGAATAACTGGCCAAAGACATAAACCCTAAGAAAATGATTATTAGAAAACCGAACTTTTATTCTTTTTAGGACTGCACCTATTTCAAGAATATGATGTCAAAGATGACATTTGGTTTTCCTCTTAAGAATGTAGTTCCTATAGATTGTTTATATCACTCTTCATGTCATTTATGATCAGTTTCGAACGGTTTTTTCAAATTTATTTTTAAATTTTGTCTAATGCAAAGCACAAGTTTCCAAATCAGCTGGAATTACTCAAAAAAAGGCCAAAAAATGTGAATTTTTGACTTAACTAGAAACCTTTGTTTTGTGTTTCATGAAGTTCAACAACAATTTTGGATAAATCAAAAAACTTCATCGTAGTCGAAATAAACAATTCACAAAAACTATACTCTTAATAAAAAAAAAATTTCATCTTTGACATCATATTTTAGGAATTGATGAATTCCTAATTCTTTTATTAATCTATTACTTACTAAGAGAATTAGTGTACAAACAGCAATAACAACTGAAATAACAACAGTACCAACGATAACAACTGGTATTGCCATATTGTTTTATATCAAAATTTTGGATTTCGTTTGTTTTATTGGTGTCTGTGGAAGATTTGACACGATATTGTAATAAATACGCGATTTTTTTGTTGCTTACGAAGATACGTTTGAAGGTCACGTGTAAAAATATATACGAAAAGAACAGAAAGAATAGCTATGGGACGATGTTTTTTTTTGTGCTTTTTACGATCTGTTTGCTGTCGACGTGAAAGAATATATATTGAATCATCCGATGACGTCTATTACATATATTTACCTAAGGCACTTTAATATTATGAATAAGACACCAATATTATTTATCGATTGTTATTCAATATGAGCAGGAAAAAGAAAAAAAAAATATTCACACTTGTGCATATATTTATATGAAGTCAAAGTGTATGAGCAGCAAATAAGAAATAAGCAAAGAAGCATATAAGATGTTTTAATTTAATAATACGATGACTATTTAATCTACAATGAAGATAAGAATAGAAAAGTGTAGACATTTTATAGTTTGTATAGTTTTAGAGCAGTTTAGAAGTAATCTCGTTTAGATATTCAACAGTTATAGGGTTCTATTTCAATAATGTTCGACTAGCGAACATATTTTGTATTAAAACACATTGGTTCGCTGTTCTGACAAACATCAAATTAATAGTGAAGTATTCATTCAATGCAAGTATGTGGTTATTTAATAACTTTCCTAAGTTTTTGTTTTTATACCTGATCAAATTATTTTTGTTATTAGGAATACAATGAAACCTGAAGTCTTCCTACTTTCTTCCACATGTAATGGATATTACAAATAATTATTTGGAACAACCATCTCTTGGTAAATATTATTCTATTGATCTAAAATTCGATAATTATCGATTGCTAGCTAAATAGTCTAATTATCAAACAAATTATGATAAACTTATTACTTGGTATTTCCAATTATATTTAATCCTTTATAATCAATGTCAAGCACCTACCACGTTTTATTGCTATTGTTAGAATTATTTGGTGATGAATTTTTTTAGTATTAGACATACATGAAAATAATAATAGGCAGTCTATGCCTTCTGTCAGGAACACGTCATATACTAAGTAAACTATACTTAATTGTACTTTTTCCATTCAACCATCTATATAGTTGATTTTCTCATTGGATAGTTAAGTTGCAGAATGATTTATGGATTTCAAACATCGTAGATTGATTAAAGGAGAAATCAGATTCAATTTCGTCGGATAAAATAAAGTTGTCTTTTATGCATGTCATTCTCTCTTTCGAATTTGATCACGATTGTGACTTATTAAAGCAATCTACTACAGTAATGTGATATTGAATGTACACTTGATTAGTTCAGTAATTAATATGTTCAACGCCGGTCAAATCGATTCATTTACATGTGCTAGTACTTGCCTCGATTATATCTGGAATATATTTTCTTTCTTCGATGTGGAAAATAGATTCTTAAATGAAATCACATTGTTTACTTCTCGATGATACCAAACTTTTCTAAAATGGTTTCTCTAAACATGTTACACAAACTTACTCATCTTACATAATTTTTATATGGATCACATTAAACAATTTGTATGTCGACTTTGTTGTCGGTGTTTAACTGAACTAATTATTCTTAATGTTGCATAATTAGTAATCATTGATCAAATTTGAACAATAAACTGAACATAATAATATAATAGTTGAAAAATTTCAAATTATGGAGTCGTAATTCTATCTCACCATTGTTCAACTAAACGTTTTTCAAGTTGTCGTCCGAAAAATGTTAACAGACACTAGAGTAACAGGATAAACTATGCTGAAGTGACCAATAGTTTTGCAATAAAGTTATTTTTCGTACTAAAAGTCAGTGTAGAACAATCGATGTTTTATTGACCAGAAAGCAGTTAAGAGAAATTGCGTGTGTGCGTGTGAGCATGAATTGAAGTTCGACATTGCCATTGATAAAGATACCAAATCAGGTGTGTTGATACAAACATAAGTTTGTCAGACTGGCAAAATATAACGAATTACTATTCAACGCAGTAAAATTCGTTTAAGAGAGTGCGATTACCACAGGCTTTTCATTTACTCTTTTGGCGTTCAAATCCATTTCTGATCTTGAATGCAGTGAAACTCGTAAAATTTTTTAACAAATTAAGAATCGCCTAGATCTAGAGAAGACCTTATGAATTTTGACGCCTAGTTTTAAAGATCTTATTTATCTGGTTGGAACTCATGAATCATAAGCATTGATCCTCAAGAGTTGATAAGAAGTAAAAATTCTTCGAAGAATCATAGGATATCAAGTATTCGGTGACATCGACTATTGAAACTGAAATTTCAGAAAAAAACGATTTGAATTTTTAAGTTTTTTTTACATCGGAAATACTAACCATCTTTTGAAGATGTCCAGTTCCTTTTATCCTACTAAATACTTATGAAAAGTTATTGTATTAATTATAATTTGATCCTCTAGAACCACTAATGGTAAAAGGATGAAATAAAATAGTATAAAGACAGAAAATTGCTGTTTCAAGGACGTTTTATCACACCTTTGTCTAATCAGATTATCGCAGCAGACTCTCTTAGTTTTTCTAGCTTCTAGACAGTCTCTCTTGTATTTAAGATATGTGGATGTTCTGGTGACAGATTCATTCGAAAACATCTGTTTGCTATTTCAATGTTCGTTCATGCTAAATCGAGTTCATTCATGTATATGTAGACGAGAATGATATTGTGATATGACGATGGTAATTCTATATCATTGACTGGAAAAGATTTCCGTTCGATTTCTAAAGCTTGTTGTATATAAGACAGTGCTAAAGTTTGATGATGTTTGTGAGAATACACAGTTTCTATATTCATCAATGTTGTAGCAATTTTCGAATGATTTTCCAGAAGTAACCTTCTTCAGAATTTCTAAACATTCACTATGACTCTTTTACGCCAAATCGTATTTGTGTTGATGTCTATAAATAGTATCCATATTATCATATATAGATGCTCTTGTTAAAAGATCATGTTCATTACTTTCTAATTTGTATTCAAGAGTTTCTTGATAAGATTCAAGCTTCTTGCTTTAGTTTGGTATATAATTGTAAGCAACGCCAATGTCATGGTGAAAATTCACCATTGATACTTTGTCAATTGACGATAAGTTTGATCTAATAGCAAGCGACATGTTCAAGTTTTCTAATGCTTCTTTATAATGTTGTTTTTCGCGGGCAATATTTCCTAGCCTCTGATAACAAGATGTTCGCCTTAAAAAATCATCAGATGCCAATGAATTTAAATTTCGTTGAAAATATTTAGCTGCTCTGTCAATTTCGTCCATTTTCTTTTTAATAGAAGATCGAGTGAAGTTAGATTCCGACACTCGGTTATATTATTTTTCATTGATTTCAATACGTCCTTCAATTCGTTATCATATTCTCCACACAAAATAAGCTTGACTATCCAGTTTTTCGTGTTCATCGTAAACTATGTTTTGTAGTTTGAAAATTGAGCTCACCATAAACAAGATTTTTTTTTCATCTATATATGAACCAAAATGGCTTATTTCTGCAAATGGCTTTGCATCTATTTGACGAGTAATAGCATGAATTTCAAATGCAACTCGTTTTCGTGTGTTGTCATTTGGAGCAGCAGATGGTTTCGCAAATATGCGTGCTACGTCACGATCTTTGCTAGCCGATAGGAAATTGTTCATGCATATGAGACTAACAATGTTTGTTCTTAGTTTGTTCAATTCTCTTAATGCCTTTGCTTGTCTACAATAAACGGTGACTCGGGTATCTAGAAAATTCTTTTGTTCTTCTGGTAGTTGATGATATAAATTTCGTATTAGCAAACGTAATGTAATCATTTTATCAATATCTCTGCTATAAAGTACTTTATTTAAGAGCTGGAAAACAAATGGTTCTTTTATGTGCCATTTCATTGCATTAGATGGTCTGTAGCTATCTATAGATCCAGATTTTTCTCGACTGAGTTTCGTCTTGACAAAGAAATTCGTAACACCTTGCATATAATTCGGCGATCGTGCCTGTTAATGGAGTCATTCGTAATAAAATTTCAAGGAATCACTGCATCCATATAAAATTTCCGTTTTCTGCTGATAAATTAGTGTGCGTGTTCTCTTTTGAAAGAAAAATATTGAATAGTACGGAGCTTGGAAATCTTGTGTGTGTCATCTTAAGTGGAGGTTGCGCACCTAGTAACATCGAATCTTGTGTTGTTGGCTATCCAGTGTAATATGATTATCTACTATCATTTCAACTAAGTCTTCAATATTTCCAACGATTGCTTGAATCAATAATGGGTTCATAACGATACTAGTCTACCATATGATCATAATCAACTTATCTTTCGATATTCTACGGGCCATGTTTGATTGTCTATTTCATTTTCTGTCATGGAATAAATATAAATAGCTGCTATTTGTGGAAAATCGTGCATATATGATACAGTATGTCTTCCCAATAGACAAGAAATAATTAACATGATTTTTTGATTTTACATGTTGACTATATAATCAACACCTTCATCTATATTTACAAACATTTCCATGAAGCCAACTAGTTCGCATACTTTTGTTCTAGTTTCTAAGTTGTCTACATTGTTATTGACGTTTTTTTCAAGTCATATAAATATAAAAGGTTGCGGCTTTCCGTTTGATGACATTATGACGGTTGTAATGGAAAACAATTTCAATCAAGGACACTGATTAGCAGGTATGTATAGAAAAGATCGAAAAAAAAAATGTCGAAAGTAAAAACGTCGAAAAAAAAATGTCGAAAAAAAAATGCCGAATGCTAAAAAGATCGAAAAAAAAATGTCGAAATAGAAAATGTCGAAATAGAAAATGCCGAAATAAAAAAGATCGAAAAAGAAAACATCGAATGATGAAAACGTCGAATGATAGTTTGGTCGAAAAAAAAATGTCGAAAATTTNAAACTATGCTTACACTTGTTTCATTAATGCTTTTGAATCAAAAAGTGAATGTTATTGTTATAATAACAAAAAAAAATAACAATAACTTTCTCACCCCTATTGTAAATGGCGTCGTAATAGCACATTAAAATGAAGAAAGAAAATGATACAAGTTGAATTCGACTTTTTTTGCGTTGTTCTGTCTTTCATATTCGCTGCAGTCCGCTTTTTCCTTCCATGAGTACGAAATTTTTAATCTATTATGCCACCGATCTATGCTTTTCCCATATGCCACTGACATGTGTAAACATTGCAGTAAATCAATGTGCCCAGTAGTTGCAAAGCACATGGCAGCATCACTATAGTTTGAAGTGCTTACCTGTGTTTGAAGTAGAATGGCAGTAAGAAAGATAAGCAGGGTGAAGAGAAGCCTATCCTGCTTACTCACCGCGTCGCATCCTATTTAAGAAGAAGATAATCTTTGAAGTTTTAGTAATGTTTACATACACTTCTCAACTAATCGATACGTTGATTTCTGGTAGTGTTGACTTACATGTATGCCAGTAGCCGGAGAAAAAAAACGCTAGATTGATGATATAAAATAGCAAACAAATCTTGATTATGCTAGAAAAGTGTGAATTACACATAGTCTACGAAACATTGACTACATTGAGAGAGAAAATATGAAATGCTGAGGAAAAAACAATTTGAACAATCAGTTTGAACCTCTTTGTTTCATTATTTAGCGATTTTTCGTGATCACAAACAAATAGAACAGAATGTCACTGTCTTCTGTCCTGTTGACACTCTAAACATTTTATTCTAAACATAAAATTGAAGACATGGGATCTCGGAGAAAATCTTTGTGAAGCGACACATTCATTATCGATAAAACGTTCTCTATGAATCAAAGGTGTGGGTGTGAGCCAGTGTGGTGTGGATCTTCTCGACATCAAGCAACTCACCGACACCTACACTCATACCCGCACGCATACAGCTAATGCGAATGCCGGTACCTTCTTTCTCGGTAATTTTTCTTGGAAAAATGATTAAATGAGCATAAATTCTTCGGGATAAGTCGATGAATAATTATCTAGCCATAATGGAGTAGGTGTCATATGTTGTGCTTGTTTTTGTTGCCAGACATATTGTATTCTTTGTTTGATCAGTCGTTGGTTTTCTTGGGTAATTTGAAACCGGGTGTGTTTTGCATTTAACTCTAATTTCAAATAATTTCTCATTCCATGCACTCTTGCTCGATTGTGATATGGTCCAATTTTTAATTGACGACTATTAAATATACCAGTAGCCATACTAAATGTACTTAATGCACCAACGATTATATCGTCACGTAGTAGACGATTAAATGTTTCGGATGTGCGACCATTTAAGAAAAACGAAACACGACAGCGTGAACTAGGCAATGCAGTTTGTAAATCCATCAGTATAGCATGAAAATCATTGATTACACCTTCACTATAAATTGTGATTAAATATTGATTTTGTATCAAAGCAGGTAATGCATTAACAATCGAAACTAATAACGGTGCATAGGCTGAATTCTCAATGTAACGATAAAGATCACCCGAAATTATACGACCCATATGATCTCGTTTTACAACATCACCATGACGTATGTGTACTCCAATCAGTAAGACATTGTGAATGTCAATTGATGAACATTGAATCGGTTGAAACGTTACGATGCTCCTCTTGTGATAAGCGGCAGTAACAGAAATACTTTGATTAATACTAGTTGGAATATACTGAAAATAATCAGTTGGCTGATAATTAGACGAAACTGGAACACCAGACCAAACCACAGACCGTTCATTGTAGAACTTTCGATGTTGTAACCACCATCGAGTTTCAAAAACAATACCCACTTCCATCAATGATGATATGATAGTAAACGTCTGGCTGGAATAAAATGTAAATCCAACACCATTATTCGACTTCTTATCATTGCGCTCAAGTTTGCCTATGAAATGATTAAATAACAATTTAAAGCTAGGCTTAATTGTAAATGGTTGTTTGCCGTTATGATATTCATCAAATGTTTGATTTCTCAGTAAATTATATTTGAATATATTTTGTTTCACAGACGAGTTTTTTGGACATGAACGATAAGCTGAGTAAGGAATTTCCCAATCGAAAAAGTGCCAATACTTTTCTCTATCGGTATTTGTTTCGTCACCTGAATGTTCTGCAGTCCATTCTAGATGTACTAAAATCAAATTCAATGCATATGCTACATTTAGAACACCTAAATACCACATTAGTTGTGAGCCAGTACCGTGGACAACATGAGCCGCTAATGAATTATTCAACAATAGATAACGACCGTTTTCGCAATCGATTGTTGGATGATATGTTAACAACATTGAAAATTTATTCTTTAATTTTCCGAAATACCGATCGATGGATTGTTCAATGTCAGGGAGACAGGGTGTATCGTCCAGCATGCAATTATCTAATAAGTTATCAAACGAAGATGATTGGGAAGTGAGAGGCAATGCAATGTGTTTCGGTATCATTTCGACACAGAAATAATAGCAAGCTGGAAAACTGAAAGCAGCCAGAAATATGCAAAATGCATAAATATTTCGCTTTATTCGAAATTGAGAACAAATGCGTAACAGAGTTTTCATTGAACTGACGTGCATATCTAAAATTGAGGGTGTAGAATGTGATATAGAGTACAAGTTATAGTAAATATTACCACTAAACACTACTCACTTCATTTACATATTTTACTAACAACGCAGTTACATACGAGTGAAGTGAATGGCCATTGTATTGTTGCTATACAGAGTAAATTCATAGAACAATAGCCATTTTCTGCAATAAATTTAATCGAATATTTCTCATATATATTAGTCTCATTCTTGTCTGCTGTTGTCTTAAAATACAGTTCTGTCTATGAACTGTTTTTCGAAAGATATACCTTTCACAAAATACAAGGTGTCTAGAAACGGGTTTCATCTATTCGATAAAAATATCTTTTTGTCACTGGATAGCAACAATTTATAAATTCCTTTTGTAATAGTATACTTGTATTTTTCATTTTGAATTTCAAATAAGTCTCAGTTTTAGTAATCAAAAATTTCTGGAAACACTTGTTCACACTAAGTTACTATTTTCTGTTGCGCCATCTTAAAAACAAGTTTTCTTCGGCTGATAGTATATCGAAACTTTGCAGAATATTTGATATCAACGAGTAACCTTAGCGTTTATTTTTATGAAATGAAAAAGTCCTGGCAGACTTGCTTAAATTCAAGAGAAGCAACAATAAAACTTTTTAAAAAGCTGATTTTTACACTAAATCTCATGCTACTTTTTCGGCTTCGCATTATGAATATCTTAGAAGAAGAAAAAGCCACTTGACTTGAAATTCGGCTCCTTTTTTTCTGCTAGACCGCTTTATGTGGTAGGAAAAAGAGATTAATTGTGTTGAAGCTTGCCGAGAACGATGAAATATATGTTCCAAATGACACGCTACCTTAAAAATGGCTTTTATTCAGTTTATAATAACTGAAAGCTCTACAAAGTATCTTACATCAGGAAGCAATTTCAGTAAGAACTTGTCACAAGAGGAATCTTTTAGGCTTGTTTTGCATAGGGAGATACGCAGCAAAAACTTTTCAGCATGTTGATCTTCTGATTGGAAACAACACTTCTAGAGACTGCGCGATACTTTTGGAGGTAGTAAATAATACTATACCTCTAAGAGATCGGGATCATGAGATAAAATCGCTTCATATATGATAGAACTGTTTCAATACTGATCGATCCAGAGTGCAAGAAAAAATAACTATTTTGAATAGCTAACAAGTATCTCATGACTTTTGTAATAGTCTGGTAGTGCGATTATTTCGACATTGACGGTAGAGAAAATTTGTAATTCTATATAACTTAAGATATTCTGTCTAACGATGAGTTTTTAAGGTTTCATTATTCTCTAGATTTCCTAAATAAACAGTACAACGGCCATGAAATTCATTCATATCTTTTTTCAACATGTTCTACGAATATTGACTGAAAGACTTACTTTGCTGATTTATTCCAGAGTGATAGAGACAGTGAAATCACATGGATACGCAGATGAAACTGAAAAAAGCTTTAATTTTGATTTTAACGTTTCTTCTACAAATAGACATTGATGATGGAGCACCGCTCGGTTTACTTGCGTTCGTACATTGTCTTCTTTCTTACCTTTCATTGGAGCAGTTGTTCTCTCCAGTTAGTATAGGGATTCTTTTGAAGATATTGCAAAAAGAAATCACAAGAAGCAGGACGCATTAGAAAAAACAGCTCATTGACGATTTCACTCTTTCTTCTGCAGGTCGGCATTAGTGATAGAGAATTTTTCATTTTTTCTTTCCTTCTGGCATTTTCTTGGTTTTCGGGCTCCAAATCAATAGTTGCTGCATCTTATTAGTGCATGTGTGAGACTCGTTCGGGGATACATCAAAGGCTTCAGCCAACGTAAATTACGTAGGCTAAATGATATATGACTAAGGGGTTTTGTCTGCCCAAGAATATGAGAACTCACGTAAAACAGCTTACTGTATTTTGTCTTTGTGATGTATGGATAAAGTTCGTTGATGTTGTAATGGTTAATGTGATTTATTCAACATAATAAAGTAAATCATTAATAACAGGAAGAAATCAACAACAAGAATCACACTGGTGAAAGTTTGTAGGAAAAAAAAACATCTCCGAAGAGAGAGAGAGACCAACAAGGTCAACCATGACCGAAAAAAGAAAAAAGAAATCAGAGAGAAACAAATATAAACTAGTAATAATAGAGTTGGCGTCATACAGCACCATCTGTTGATGCTAACAGCATGCATTCAACTAAAGAAATAAAAATATATATAAAATGAAGGTTTGATATCTCGATTTCACTTGTTGGTCTGGATAAGTTTTTAATAATAATTGGTTGGGATATTTATTGTGTCGTGGTACAATTTTTCAAGTTTTCATAACTACGTAGTTCAATTATGGCATATTTCCGGAGTATGAAGTTTTTATTATAACATTCTTTACCAATATTATTAGTACTCAAAATCTAGTGAGCAGAGTGTTTCGTCAATCAAGAACGCAATGGTTAAAGTTCGAGTTAAAAAGTTTTCAATTTGTCTAGTTCAGATGTTTATTGTAAACTTAAAATATGTTTTGTCTATGTTTCAGTCTCTAAGTCAACTGCATTTAGAAATGGTTTTCATGCATTCAAAAAGTTATCCATGTTGATGTCTTCTCCTATTAAAACTTTTGAAGTTTGTTGAGCTTCAAAGTGTGAACATTCAATCATTTTAAATTGATATTTTCTTAGAGAACTTCATGAGCTAGATCCAACGCCATAAAAAAACGAAATATTTTTTTGCTTGAATTTCGAAGTTTCTTTACCTTCGAATCAATTGATTATCAGTCATTGCTGCTACTTTTATTCGTGCAAAAGTTCTATACAGCTAGTTATAAGGTTGATGTCGATTTCTGTTCGAAGCTAGATACTAGTTGAAATGAGCAAATTTGCAAAAACTGAGATCCTATGGAACACTCGATAATTACTTACCGAACGATGTGGACTTTTCCAATTTTCATGTTATTACTTGAATTCCATAACTGACCACAGAATTTTCAATATAATAAAATTTTGAAAAGCTGGAAAAAAACTTAGCTCAGGAAACTCGAGTTACTATGAGTCCAACAAAAACTATCTTTTAGAAGGTTGTTGTTTTTTTCAACTTCGACAAAATCTGCTGAAGCTCATCACTAATATTATTGCTCAAGAAAAATTATTTGTGTGATTCAGTTGTTGTAGATAGAAAGAAAACTGAAGTTCTATTGGTTGAGTTACTAGCCGAAATTTCACAACTTGCTTATAAAAAATTACAGCTCTAATTTCTTATTAGCATGTGCTCAGGAACCCCTAATAATAATGTCCGCCAAAGTGGACACATTTTGGACGCCTGTCTTCCTATTACATTTCGTCCAATTAGAAAGTTCGTTCTTAATTATTGTTGATCGAATGTCATCACCCACCGACTTAGTGATTGAGTCTTTAACGTCGTCCTTCCTTTTTTTCTTCCATCGCTCTTTTTTTTCTCTCACTGTTCGGTTTTTGCTCTTTTCTTCCAGGTTGGCTGACATCTTTCCAGTTTTTCTTTTTTCTTGCCTCCTTTGTCGTGTGGTCATGCAAATGTGTATCGTGTAATGATTTATCGTATGATTTTCTACTTTTATACACATACAATTAGCAGCTAATAATACAGTTGGTAATCTCAAGCCTTAGCTGAATATCAGTTTTACATTGAAATTTGATAAACAAACAAAATTAAGACTATGAATAAATATTTAAGAATCATAGCAGTTATACTGCCATTAATATTACACAATTTGACTGCGATATTAATCTCTGAACGAGAAGTGTAACCTTCTGAAGTGTCTAGTTTTTACTTTGGTACATGTCGAAAGTTCGTTTTTCCAGCTAGGATCTTCCACAAAAGTAAAAAAAAAAATTTCTACTGACTGTGTGAGTCACAAGTATTCTATTTATTGTAAGAGTCAATTTATAATGATGAAAAAGACTGCATCACTGTAAAACTCACTTCTGTATCACAAGACCTAAATTATAAAAGTGTATAGAACTACGTTCACACAGAAGCGTTTAGAAAAAAAAACTTTTAGTTTCGTCTAGTGAAACGTGAAATCGAGATTGGAACCTGACTATCGTTTACAGGTTGAACTTGAGAAAAGTAAACAATATATGTTTAATACGATTATACTGCTTGTTAGAAGATTGAAGACGCCACTGAATTGCGTAAAATTAAAAAGACAGAACAAATCTTAGACTTTAGAATCTCGGAATCAATACTTAAATGAAAAGAAGAGGACAGATGTCGCGATAAACAGCAATGTTTTTGCACCTGTATCATTCTGTATGGTAATGACTCTAGTACTCTATGCAACTAATTGAACAGGATAATATCGATATATCGAAATACGAGTATTATAGTACGTTATTTTATTATTCGTAGTTTAAAAATTCTCTAGTACAAGAGTCGAAAAAGTACTGTTCGATAGGATTTCAGCGAATAATCTCGTTCCGAATTTCAAGTTGGAACGATATGAGACTAAAAACATGAATGCAGGGCGAATGAGAAGTAACACAATGTTGGTTCATACTTAGTTCTATACAGAAAGCACGATCAACATTGATTTAAAAATATCCATTATAATATTTAGAAGTTATACTATTGTCTATGTTTAGTCTCTTTTTCTCTTCAACTGAATCGTAATTTGCTCGACGATAATAAATGAATAGTATCTGGTGATCCTTTCCAAATTGAACAAGTCCCCGTAGGGTTTTATCGTATCTATGATGAGCTCGATTAGTCATCATCCTATCGAGCTACATTTAATATATGAACAACCTTCGAACAGCCAATCAACTTGCTTG